ATTGTTGATGGTTTTAGATAGATCATTTATGTAGAGAAGAAAAAGTAAGGGACCTAAAATTGATCCTTGTGGAACACCGTGCTTTATAATTCCCCAGTTTGAAAATGCATTATGACTGGAGTTTTTATTGTTTATTTCAACTCTTTGATACCTGTTTTTGAGGTATGATTTGATCCATTCATTAGCTTTGCCAGTTATTCCATAGAAATTTAATTTCGATAGTAAGATATCATGATTAACACAATCGAAAGCTTTTGCTAGATCACAGAAAATCCCTCCCACAATTAATCTGTCATTGAGAGCACTTAAAATATGAACATGGAAGCTGAAAAAGCTGCTGTGTTAGAGCCATTACCAGGTGACAAACAGTGAAGATACAGCAGTCTGAGAAGACTTCATACACGCTGTAGTGAATTGTAGAGTGTGCAAATTAATGATAGCACTATAGTTACTTTTAGTTACAATCTCTAAGTGTTAATAAATCCAATTATCAGTCCAACCCCCATATATAATCACTCCATCACATGACAATATATTGTCACATGTTAAATGACTGCAGACGGGATTTGGATTGGTAATCGGATTTATTGGACTTTCAGAACTCATAACTACACGTAACTATAGTGCTGTCGCTAATTCACACACACTACAATTCACTACAGCGTGCACTAAACCTTCTCAGTCTGTCACATCTTCACTGGTTGTCACATGATAATGGCTCCCAATGTTGTTTGTTCCTCACCTTCCATATTCCATGGCTTTGGTCCTCGCTGGCTGGCACCTGTCCCACAATTAACTCTTTATGGCCTCAATCCCTGTTCATTGTCTGCCTCCTAGCTATGTCTGTCCTCCACTGGCTACTGCTGGCTAGTACTCGCTTCTTCCTCACCAGCAGACTGCTACCATCCCCTACCCAGCTTCCATTTGCTATGTTTTGATTCTGCAGATAGGCTTTTGCACAGACCCAACAGAGAACACATTTCCAAAAATTCCTCTGTTGCATGCATAACTGTCACTATACTGATATGATGTTTACTGTGCCATAACCTAGGAACGGATGTCTCTTCTGATTAAACTATTGCAGCTTTCAGCAGTCATGCCACAGTATCTTGATTTACATCAGAGGGGTCCTGCTGGGTAATGGGCAAGGCTGCACCTTATGTAGACCAGCAGCAAAAGAATAAGGCTTGGCTTTCTTTTGCAGATTGTGCAGCCACCAAAACTGCATCCGCAGTCCACAGGTGCTGCTGCAACTGGCTTCAACCCTTTCATCTATGGAAGTGATGTGGACTCAGTAGATGTCACCACCAGAGTTGCAATGGTGAGTGCTTTATGCTGTTGTGTATCAGGTGTCTGGAGACATTGTTTGGATTGGTAATGGATTTATTCAATTCTGTGTGCCCAGTTGTCTGTAACTAATGCTGATATTAATTGATATTAATACCTATTACAGACACATTGGCACATAGACTAGGACATATCCCAGAAATTGAACTTATGTATGGAAGCATAGCAGTTTTATCAGCAATTTTAGAGATACCTGAAGATGACCAATGTTGGCCGAAACATGCAGTATGCATTCACTGGTAATGTAGAAGAGATTTTAACTTATAAAACTTCTGAAGGTTTTAAAAAAGCAAGTCGCATGTGAGGCAGCTAAGACCTAAGAGGAATAAATTAATAACTTTAGGTAAGAGTTTCCAAATATGTGAACTGGATTGAGCTGACTCAAGATATGGTCCAGTCAGGGGGCTTTTGTGGTTGCAGGGATGCACTCTAAGGTTCCATAATAGTGGAGAATTTATGAATAAATGTCATGGAAGGCTTTATACCATTGAGATAGTTATGACCCCAACAAAAGCTGAATGAGTAGGAATGTGTTCAGTTATTGTAGCATTCCATGTGTTGGTTCTGTCCTCAGGTTCGCTTCTTCAACTCGCAGAACCTGTTGGCAAACTTTACAGAACATACACGCACGCTTCGCCTGTACCCTCGTCCTGTGGTTGCATTCCAGATCAACAGTTTCCTAAGGTCTCGTCCACGCACGTCTCACTTCCTCAGCAGATTTGCTAGGACACAGGTGAGGTGATGAAAATGTTGATCATTCCGTTAGAATTCTACCCCTATGTGCACCATATTCAGAGCTCAGGCTGACTGGACATTGATTTTACTGTCGGCAACTTCCAGTGAAATTGATGGGCCACGTGCAGAGAAAAATTCTATGATGCAGCCGGTACAGCTAGCACACATTGTTTACTTATTTTGTTAATTATTAATCAAATTTAGTACATAATTAATATTGTACTCACCATTATAGAAGATGTTCAGAATATCTGCCACCTGCTGTGAAACATGTCTGAATTCTTTTAGACAGATTTTGGGAGACTTGTTGCAATTCACGTTGCTGAATATTGTCAATTGCTTCACAAATATTCTGTTTTAGAGCCTCCAAGTTATGCGGATTGATGGCATACACAACACTTTTGAGTTTTCCCCACAAATAAAAATCACAGGGCTTTGGATCTGTGGATCTAGGGGGCGAACAAACCCTTGCTAATAATTCTATCATCCCCATTAATTGTTTAAATACACTGCATAATGTTTGGATAGTTTCTTTAGCTGTGTGTGGAGTCACACCATCTTGCATAAAATAACCAAATCTTTTGTAGATGCCAAATTAACGAAAAATGGATGGAGTATTTCATTAATATATCGTTGAGCATGAAGAATTCCTTCATAAAATATCAGGCCATTGTAACAGTTTGCGCTAATCACGCACCAGACACCTATTTTTTTGGCTGTAAAGTGGAAGTTGAATTAGGGCATGAGGATTATCACTACTCCACTACCTATTGTTTTCTGAGTTAACATATCCCAAGAGATTAAAATTAGCCTGATCTGTGAAAAATGTCAGCTTAGGTTCAAGAAGTCTGTCATGCACATGATTGATAAACCAATTACAAAACCTCACTCTTTTTTCATAATCCGTAGGTTTAATTTCAGGAACAACAGTAATTTTGTATGGAAGAATATGCAACAGTTTAGTTGCTGTCTATGCACCGCCTACAGAAACACCAATTTATTGCACTAATTGCTTATGAGTGAACTTATGAGTGAAACAACAGAAAACTCAGAAAAATATCATGTATTTTAGCATCATAAGTATGTATTTGCCCTGTGCACATCTAAGAGAATCAGCTGTGAAACTTGAAAAACTATAAAGAAACAACAATCAAAATCTCTAAAAACTTTCACGCATTTTAACTGTTTAAATTTAACAACATTATAACATTCAACATAATCTGGTGGAACCAGCATAGCCATGCAGGTAATGTAACTAGAAAAAGAAAATGAAATTTCACTTAGATATATGCCAGAAATGTAAACATTGGCAATTATAGCATCTGTATGTTATTTTATGTAAATAGTATGCTGATACCCATATAGGCCAAAACATGTCACATGATAAAGAAGAGTGTATACAGTTGTATTTGACAGAACCTTGTATACTGGTGCATATACTGATGTCTTTGAACTCAAACTAGTGTGAAACCATATTTTCAAGAGACTTTTAACTTTGTTTAAGAACAGAAGGGAGACATTTTGAACAGCGGCTTATCCATTGTGTGCAGTACTTCTCCCCTCTGTTACTGCTGACAGTTGAGAGTTCAGAGTAGTTCAGAAAGTTCCAGAAGAGCAGTGTAATGAGTATACTGAAATTTACTGATGAAGGTTGAGACATGGTTGGTTTCTGTGTGAAGTTGATTATTTCTTTAACAGTATTAGCTTATTAGTCTTCTTAATATTGAGAGAGTGTGTTTTTGTGAGGTGGAACCTGAATTTTTAATTAATACTGAATTAAACTTGAGGCTTCAGAAACACAAACACATGTATATGTTCAGGCTGTGGAGTTCCTTGCTGAATGGTCGCTGATGCCAAGCAATGTTGCCTTCCTGCGAGTGCACACTGGGGTCTTTGACCCCACCCTGATTGGGGACAAGCCCAAGTGGTATGCACACACCTTGGAACCCATCCGTTTCACCGTGTGGGACCAGTCTAGCTCCCTCAATGGGGCACTGCGGTCACTGCGTCAGCAGGAGCAGCCCACAGGTGAGTGACTGCCTTCAGATCTTGTGTTTGTGTTAAAGTATTCCAAGCCCACATGAATGGCATTTTGAGGATTTGAACAAGTGCAAACCTGACCATTTCCAACATTGATAAAAGTATATTTCGTTTGATAATTTGAAGTTTAAGAGGAGAACATCTTATATTCAGGCCAAAGTGATATTTATTTGTTTTTTTATGGTTCTCCAAATAAACAGTCGCTATTTCCATGAATAGCATTGACTGGTTGGTCTTTGTAATGGAGATGCTTTTTTGAACTGCGTTTTTAAATATGATTTAGATAACTTTCTGACTTTAGAATGTTACAGGATGCAGTTAAGTGCTTTGTATGTGTGTTACAGATGAGAGTGGCTCTGACTCAGAAGGAGCTGAGAGTACAAGCTCGTCATACTCATCACTCAGCGACTTTGTGTCGGAGATGGTATCTTCAGACCTGTCCCCCAGTGAGTTCTGCACTGTCATATACTGTTTGCAGGTTTAACACTTTTGGGTCCACTACTGGTTCCAATTTGAGTTCAAGCATTGGATTGGAATAGTTTCTCTATGTTAGGCTCTTTAGTAGAAACATCACTCTTACTGTCAATTTGTTTGAACATATGTGTAGTCTTGTAGTTAGGCATGTATGTTCAGGAATACACAATGTCTCATACCAGAAAGCTGTAATCTTTATAAAAAGTAAAATAAAGGTATCCCTGTAACAGGCCGTGGAGGCCCATAGGGTTGTGAGATGTTGAGTTTCCGACATTTTCTAGACAGTCGGCTCATAGATTGTAGCAAGGTTGTCAGCCTTAGGCGCCGGCCAACCTTTAACCCAAAGAATATTCCTTGTACTCGATTCTGTTAGAGGCTGAATCGACCCCAGGACCATAGTCTGTAATCTTTATAGTTTATTTTTTCTATTGTTAAATTTGGCAGAGTCAATCCAACATTGCACAGCTTCTAGCAGAGGATGACTTGATGCTCAGCGTACAATGAAGACTGTAATCTTGATAAATAGAATCTTTAGTCATTATGACTTGGCTGTAAACTCATGTCTTTATTCATTTGGTTGTGTTGTCCTGTGCTAATAAATTGACTCCATGGATCAGAGTCCTTGAGAAGCCAAGTCACTCATTTAGTAGAGAAGTGTTCCACCTTTTATGGAACCTGAAGATTCATTACCCTGACCACCGTCTCATGGTGGCAGAAGTTAGGGAGAGACTGCCAGTGAGTAAACAAACAAAACAGAGTTCATATGCAGAGGTTCAGTCTCAAGAAATTAAACGAGGTAGAGGGTAAAGAGCAGTATCATGTTGAAATCTCAAATATGTTCGCAGCTTTGGAAAACTTATTGTCACGTGTTGAGTGTATAACGCGACAAATAATTTCACGCCATATTTGATATAGCGAATTTTATTTCACATTCGCTCTTACAATCACAATTTACAGATTCACAATTACTGCTATCTGCAGTATCACAAATACTAGACTGCAAATGCCAGAATACAACTGACTGGCTGCTGGCTAACTCGTTACTCTCCGCTGGCTAGATTGAGAACTGTAACTAACTCACAACTTGAGAACTCGAGAACTGACTGCTGGCTAACTCGGAACTCATAACTCTAGAACTTGAGAAATCAGAACTGACTATGAATATTCTTCGCTGCTCCGTATCTAGCCTTGTTCTGGTCAACGCAGAAAACAGCCACGTAATAGGCACCATTGTTGTCTGGCGCCGTGTTGCTAGCAACGCTGTCGGGATTTGTTTACTGCTGCCTAGCAACTGCGGTATCCCTTGGCAACGTCACCGCTGGCGGGGTAGGCGAAGGAGTGTTGACTCACCTGTTACCTTAGTAACGACAGCGATCCGATAACGTTACGTAACTGCTGGCAGGGGGAGGGGTGTCCTGCATAGCGCAACACATCACACTATACATTGAGGTGGATATTAACAGAGCCTGGGAATCTGTTAGAGAGAATATAAAAATTTCAGCCAAAGAGAGTCTAGGTTATTATGAATTGAAGAAGCATAAGCTGTGGTTTGATGAAGAATGCTCAGAATTATTATACCATAGGAAACAAGCCAAATTGCAGTGGTTACAAGAGAAAACAACATAATGAGAGCTTCATAATTTGTATTCTACACTAAGTATAATTAGAATCATCAAGTCAAAAAGGATGAGATGGGAAGGGCATATAGCATGAATGGGGGAGAAGAGGAATGCATATAGGATATTGGTGGGAAAGTCAGAAGGAAAGATACCACTAGGAAGATCAAGACATAGGTTGGAGGACAGTATTAAGATGGATCTTAGATAGGATGGGATGGTATGGACTGGATCAACCTGGCTCAGGATAGGGACTGGTGGAGGGTTCTTGTGAACGCAGCAATAAACCTTCAGGTTCAATAAAATGCTGGGAAGTTCTTGCGTAATTGACAGTCGGTGGCTTCTCACGGAGGCCTCAGCTCCATGAATGCGTGTAGATTCTTTACCTTGATTACACAAGCCTGACACTGGTCCCTATCCTGAGACTTGTGTGCATGGCCCTTCCAAGGGCCTCTTCCCTTCAGATATTCTGAGGCATACCTCATCTCATTTAGGTTCTTCAGATATTTTTTCTGAGAACTTTATTCTGATACACTTGTTGTTTATATGGTGTAAAGGCTGTCCTTTGGTTTCAGTCCATGGGTGTGAAGACATTATTTGAACCAGCTTTGTCCTCAAGGAAAATTATTGGGTGTGTCTCTTTCAACTGTTGGTCAAGTTGACAGATTTTCACACAATTTGGTATGAATATGCCACTGGGAGCCATCCAGTCTTTGTGTTTTTGATATCCTGCAATGAATAATACTAATGTGACAGACACACAAACTTGTCAGGTGGAATGATATTAGCACCATTTAATATGGGGTCTGAAATGAAGTAACCGATTTTTGAAAGATGTGTAAATTTTGTTTAGGTAATTTTTTTTTGTACAGTGTAATACAACAAAATAGCTGCTGCATGATATCTGTATTTAGCTTGTGGATTGATGCTGATAACTAATCAACCATTGGAACTTTGCATGTGAAGTTTGGTCTGGAGACTGATTGTACATGTACCTACGAGGGTTGAAACTTAATAGTATGCACTATTTATTTACAACTGATACAAAATAGATGCATGTTTCGAAGTTTTACTGTCCTTCAGTGTAGTCACCAGCATTGTGTACAACCTGTTGCCAGCGATGTGGCAGTTGTAGGATACCTTTAGCAGCGCCTGTTGCCTCTGGAACAGTTCTGAAGCGAATGCCACGAAGTGTTTCCTTCATCTTAGGAATCAAGTCGAAGTCATAAGGGCTTAAGTCCGGGGAGTATGGTGGCTGGTACAGCACTTCCCAGCCCCATCAATTGAACAAATCAGCCACAGCTTGCGCTGCGTGCGGCTGAGCATTGTCCTGCAAAATGATGGGTGGGTTCTGCAGAAAGTGTTGCCGCTTCTTTCTCAAAGCTGACTGCAGGTTGTGTTCCAAAAATGAACAGTAATACTGCGCATTGGTGGTCTGCTGTTGGGGAACGGTATCCGTTAGTATAACACCATCAGAGTCGTACATGAGAATCACCATAACTTTCACATTGCTGGGGTTCTGACGAACTTTTGATTTTCGTGGTGACCCATAATTGCGCCATTCGTTTGTTTCATTTGTGGCTCATATGATTTGGCCCATGTCTTATCCAGCGTAATGATATGGTGTAAGAAAGCCTCTCCTTCGCTCTCATAGTGCTCCACGTGGTTACAAGCAGCATCATATCATAGCCATTTCTGCATTTCCATCAAATCATGCAGAACCAATCATGATGCAATTTTTCTCATGCCCAGGTGTTCCTTCAGAATGTGAAGCACAGTCGTATGCGCTAATCCTGTCTCTTGGGCCAGCTCACAAATCGTATGGCGTCAATCACTCTCCTGTAACGCGGAAAGATCATACACGTCTTCTTCACTGACACTAGGATGACCTGGCCAATGCATGTCTGCCACATTTTGGCGTCCCTCGTTGAAGGCTTTTACCCACCTTGCCACCGTTCTGTAAGGCAATGCAGATTCCCTGCAAGCCTCTTGAAGACCTTGATGACACTGTTGTGCTGTATGGCCTCTGGCTCATTCAATCTTTATCCAACTCCGTTGTTTCTGTTTCGAAAACATCGTGACAAAATTTCATTAGACCGCCAGCTAACACGAGGCTCTGTTCTTCTCGTCACTGCGCGTGCAGTGGGAAGGAAGAGTCCATTTGCTCTGAGGTAAGGTAGGTATGTAACTAACGTGTGTTATAAGTGACATTATTTGGTTCCGTTGCATAGCTTCTCTACAGCAGTGTTGCCACTATTAAATTTCCTTGTACATGTTATTTGTAAGTCAAAAATTAAAAGTACTGGGTCAGTGTTAGTCTTTGAGGTTATGTCTAACAGTTTTAATATACACAAAGATCTGCATCTGAGAAACAGTTTTTCCCACAGTGAAAATGCTTACTACTACTACTACTACTACTACTACTACTACTATTAATAGTGATGGTAGTGGTTGTATTAGTAGCAGTCATTTTTAACATGTTTATAGCAAGANATTAGACCGCCAGCTAACACGAGGCTCTGTTCTTCTCGTCACTGCGCGTGCAGTGGGAAGGAAGAGTCCATTTGCTCTGAGGTAAGGTAGGTATGTAACTAACGTGTGTTATAAGTGACATTATTTGGTTCCGTTGCATAGCTTCTCTACAGCAGTGTTGCCACTATTAAATTTCCTTGTACATGTTATTTGTAAGTCAAAAATTAAAAGTACTGGGTCAGTGTTAGTCTTTGAGGTTATGTCTAACAGTTTTAATATACACAAAAATCTGCATCTGAGAAACAGTTTTTCCCACAGTGAAAATGCTTACTACTACTACTACTACTACTACTACTATTAATAGTGATGGTAGTGGTTGTATTAGTAGCAGTCATTTTTAACATGTTTATAGCAAGAAGGTGAAGCTATCCCTGTAACAGGCCATGGAGGCCCATAGGGTCATGAGACGTCGAGGTTCCCACATTTTCCAGACAGTGTCAGCCTTATCCGCCAGCCACCCAGTACCCCCAGGAAGATTCCTGGTACTCATTTCTGACAGAGGCTCTGTTGACCCCAGGGCCATAATGTGTCTTGAACGATTAGGTCAATTGAAAAATCCAGTGACCTCATCGGGAATCGAACCCCTTACCATCCAGCATGTAGCATAGTGCATCAACCAACCATGCTACTGCATGACGTGTTTATGTTCGAAAACAATAAAAGATTCTGACTCAGTTATGATACTGTTGTATGAGCAAGTGCATACAAGTCCAACATTGTTGCCCATCAGCTGGCTAACATGTTATTTTTTAATTATAAATTTACACCACCTGAATAGACGATTAGCAACACAAGATCTGTGGGATGCGAAGTGCAGGCCATGGGGAGGTGGACATGATGTGTTCCATCTGAAATTGTGTGTTTTATATTGTAGGGAACAATTTGGGAAGAGTAGAGGCTTATGATCATTCCTGTGACTTATTGCAGGCTTTCCGAGTGGTACATCCCACCCAGATCACAGCGCAGAGATGTTTGCTCCTCAGCCCGCTGTTCTCTCAAGTGGACTAGATCTGCGCTCAGTGTATCACCCTCCATCGGTTCTGCAACTTCCAGGGACGTCAGTTGAGGAGGACGCAGTTGCTGCTACTGAGCACCCTGAATCCCCACATTCAACCTCATCTAGCCACAGTGACTTGAGTTCACCAAGCTTCAACAGGGACTCGGAACTCGAGTTTGCTGCTCGATTGAGAGGGGATATTCCAGATTCTAGTTCACTGCCACTGCGGACAGAGACAACGGTATACAGGATTATGTTCAGTATTGTGTCGTTTGAAGGATGCAGGGAAAGTGTATGATGTAGCTGAAGTGGAGCAGCTGGCACTGAAGCTGAACTCATGCTACCCATGTTCATTCTTTCCCTGACCCAAATGTAGGCACCTGGTTCCAACAAGATGTAGGGAAGTGGGAATGTTTTCTGACATTTGCAGCTAGTGGTAGAACTGCTTGAACTCCTTAGTCCATTGTAGGGCATGCTAGAGACATTTTATTTCCTGTCCTGTCAACCTTTATGAGAGTGGTAGACCATATGCTGGTCTTCATATTATGCTTGCTCTCAGCCTGGTAGATCATAAGCTGGTCTCCTTGGTATTATTCTGGATTGCCTTGCAGGAAACGTGCAAAATAAATATTTTCTCTTACATACCTCTCTGGAGGGGATGTCCTAAGATTCCCAACCACCTTTATATACCGCATCATGCCTCAAGCCTAGTAGCTTATTTCTCCAAAATCATTGGCGTGCCTGTGGATTGATGTGGGCAACATAAACTTCCACCGTTTTCAATCAGATTTGGTGTGAGGGCAAGTCTGAATTGTTTATGGGTCACTCTAGCACCACATGAAGTTAGGAGGAGGAAGCTGTTAAGAATTGTGAGGTCCAGCAAGTAAAAAAATAATTACTTTGTCCACTTGCATATGTGGCATTTTATTGTGTATCTGATTGCCTTTTATCTGCGTACCCTGTATGTCACTTGTAGTTGTGTGTGATTCTTGGCTTTATAGCATTTCCATTTGTTACAGAAATTACCATTTGTTGGTGGATTGTACATATTTATCAGTATGTATATGTCACATTTATCTCCAGACCATTGCCATCTTATCATCTCATCATGTCCTAGAATGAATATCATCCAGTTTCAGTCATTTGTTTCATGGCAGCAGGTTCTGTGGCATGCCTTTTCTGTTAGGTCTAAGAGGCCCGCAGTTGATTTTCTGTATTTCAGATCATTGAATAAGTTAGGTGATGAAAGAAGTTGTCTGTATACAGGGTGTCCCAGGAGGAATGGACCAAACATCGGGAGGGTGTTCCTTATGTTAAAGTATGCCGATATAACCCAAAACACCTATGTCCAAAGTTGAACGGTTACGGAGATAATGGCCCAAGAAAAGTGTGGTCTTCTGGCAGGTCCACGCACTGTACCTCTCAGCTGAGAGGCCTTATCTATGTTTGTCCTTGAGTGCGATGATTCACCCTAGCCGTACTTATGTAGTTGGCTTTATCAGAACGCGCAGTCAGCACATTACATCAGCGCTTTCCATTCATGTGCCATGTATAGTGCTTGGAAACCCTAAGGACAATTATGACATGGCGAGTGAGTATTTTGTACTTCAATTTTTAGGCTTCATGTCACTCACAAGTTAGTTTCATGTTACGTACATTATTAACATTACAGAATCCACATATTCCTGCCAGTTTTAATATGTATTTTGTAATCAACAAGTGTGTAACACCGGTCAAAGTTTGACACTTCTCGGGCCATTATCTCCGTAACCGTTCAACTTTGGACATAGGTGTTTTGGGTTATATCGGCATACTTTAACATAAGGAACACCCTCCCAAAGTTTGGTCCATTCCTCCTGGGACACCCTATATATGTAGCTTGTGTCTATGTCCTTCCACATTTTGTGTCAATTGTTTCACAGTTGCATGTGTTGCTGTCGTGTGTGGTCACGCACTTTCTTATTAAAAACATATGCTATATAGATAGCACTGTAATTCATGACTCTAAGCCATAGTTTTGTAACTCATAAAAGGAAAAATAAATATGTCTTCCACTTAGGCAAATATGATAACCAGTCCCTTTTGACATTGCCTTGACATCAAAACAAAAGCAGTTATCAGAAAATTCTTGGAGCTTGAGAATGAAAAATTAGTAAGATATAAAAGTTGATGATGATGGTATGTTAATACAATTACTGTGTTTCTGAACCTATCCATAACGCTATTTTTATTTAGCAGGGTGATGGATAATGTCCAGAATCACAGTAAATGAAAAGTTAATTTTTGAATCAAGGTAGAAAATTTTTCCACTTGATTTGATCTAAAAAATTTGATACCTATTCATAATGGGCCTATCATTACATTAAATTTCTGTGCATTTTGCAAGTTGTAAACCTGCTTTATGCCCATGCTATACATAGCTTAATTCCTGAAAACTTCTCTGCTGATCTGTGAAATTTTGTGAGATTGGAGGAACTGATGAAATATTTCAGTGACTGAGACATTGGAGACTGCTATTGGCACAAGGGTGCATTGCTTGCCTGACTAGCCACTGCTACTGTTANACTTTAACATAAGGAACACCCTCCCGAAGTTTGGCACATTCCTCCTGGGACACCCTGTATATATATGGCTAGTTGTGTCCTTTGTGTTGTGCCAGGGAGCCACATTACATCTTTGCACCTGCACTGTGCTTTCCCCCACTGAGTTGTTTCTTGGTGTTTTTCCTGTCAAGGACAAGGAAGAAATAACAAGCCCTGGAGGAGAGTCGGACTCAAACTCAACCACCACTACCCCTAAGACTGTGATCAGCAACCAGTCATCCCTCCCCCACCACAGTCCAACCCCTAGCTTAGGAAGTGAGACATCGCTAGGGGGTTCAGATCGCGACAGGCCTGCCACACCGAAACCCACTCCACGGCTTGCAAGATCAGTCACACCAGTAAGTTGGCTGCACTGTTGCACTTAGCACTGTAATGTTTGATGCCTGTAGAGCTGCCCTTTTCATGTGTCCTCTTCATTTTGGTTTGTAATTATCCATAGTTAAAAACAGTTCAAGCAGTTTGGTGGTGTCACACACAAAAAGTAAAATTGTCCTTTTTTGATATCCCACACCCTGGGCTTATTCTATAGCAAAGTAATGTAGACAGTTCATAGTTTACTCATTTGTGAAATTTGCTTTAGTAATGATGTTTCCCTTTTGTGTGTTATTGGAGTCCAGGCACCAACTAGAACATCCTTCCACCTTTTGGATTGACTTTGCTTATGTCAGTACAGTTTTCAGTTACAGCCGTCTATATTAGCATTAACTGGGTGAGAGAAATATAGTAATCTTACTCTTGAAGACTGTGATTCTGATGGGTGTTGTGATATGATGAGCTCAGTAACCATCACCCGCTGAAAGAAGACCATGTACTGTTGTTAGAACCACTTAAGAGAGAGTTTGAGTTTTTGTGCCTCTTCTTGGAAAGCCATGATACAATGGTGACCAGTAGTTTAAACTTTGAGAAACTGGGTGATTCTGTGATTTGACAGGTGCCTCCTCTGAGCCCAGGGATGGTGCAGCGTCAACCTAGCGTTGGAAATGTGTTGGCGCGTACATCGAGCTTTGGATCATCCACAGGTGCCACCAGTGGTGCTGCTGCTACGAGTGTGACTCGACAAGGCAGTCAGACGTCACTGTTTGAGCAGTTGGCATGCACAGCCAAGGAACTGGTGAGGGAGACAACAAGACAGAGTAGCCAGGATGGACTGCTTGCCCAAATGGACAAGGTGAGACACTTGAAATTTGGAAATCTCCATTTTGGTGGGTTTTAAGATTACGGTCGTATTAAATTTGATGCCATGCATTATGTTAGATGGGTACCAGTGTTTTGGAGGAATGTGCTGCATCAACTTAAGGATCAGAATCTAGGCACAAAATTCCTCCAAAACACTGGTAGCCTTCGTCCATCCTACATCCTGGAAGACTAATTGTAATGGTAACCATGCTTCAGTTGGTGGTACTACAGTGTTTTGAATACTAAACTTTGTGAAAGGATTTGTTTTTGTAAAGTAATATGGAGAAGTATGCATATTGTAACAGATTAGATCATCACGTTGCCAGGCAACGTCTCCGTAAACAATAGATGAAGTTGTGTTTTCTATGTCATCTGCAGCACACCCACTGCTGGTAATGGACCAATGAACTCAGTCTGACACGTGATATGTGTTTTCTGTGTGGTCTGTGCCATGCAACAACAGAAGGGCTGTGTTTTCTGTGTGTGGTCTGGGCCGAGAGGATACGAGAGAATACGGGAATGGGAATTGGCTTGACTTGAGATCCGAAGTTCCAAGGGAACAGCAGTGTGTCCAGAAGAAGAAGCAGAAGACTTAGTGTGTGATGTTACGTGTGCCATGCCCAGTGCTGATAACGGACCAAGGATCTCTCAGACTGACATGTGACACGTGTTTTCTGTGTGGTCTGCGCCATGCAGCAAGAGAGGGGCTGTGTTTTCTGTGTGTGATCTGTGCCAAGAGAATATAAGAGAATGGAATGGGAATTGACTGGACTTGAGTTCAAAAGTTCCAAGGGAACAGCACTATGGCCAGAAGAAGAATTAGAAGACTTATTGTGTGACGTTACATGCGCCATCATACATTGATATTGGGAATGAGTAATTTAGTGAGACTTCTATAGTTCCTGTGTTATAAATCTATTGCCAGGAAATTGATAGTGAAGAATAGTAGAAATCGACTGAGAAAATTAGTGTGGAATGATTGTAAATTGTATAAATCAGCAGTAGTATAATAATTAATTGTAGTTACAACTAGTGAAGAGCCAATAAACCGATTCACCAATCCAAACCCACATCTTAATCATTAATATACATGACAATATGTATTTCTCAGTTATCAGTCATTGAATCAGAACTGTACATCATAAAGCATATAAATTCTGATGTTCTATGCTCTTTGCTGGCAGTAACCCGTCCTCTCCTGTCATAATTATGTACAGAGATTTTATTTCCAAAAATGTGGAGTGCATTTTCTTAAATGTAATGAAAACTGGGCACTATAACATGTCACATGTTGATCACCATACTTGCCATCCTTGTATATGTCACTTCCCTGCAGCAAAATTCTGTTTTTGGCACATTCACAACACAAAGTTGCAAAAGTTATGATGTTCCTGTTAGCTTTGCCATTTCTGTCCACATGTAAGAACTTGTGTGGTCAGATAACTGCTGGAAGGATATTCATGAAATTTTGTTTTGGAGTTTTTGACTGAAATTTGTGAATACATTCCAGTTTTGGTTAAAATCAGACAACAGTAATGGACACTGTTTAGGATCTGAGGTTCTCACAGTGGTGGTCATGAAGAGTTCTATCTTCTGGGATGTAACATGATGTAGTTTGTTGAAAGTCTACACAGTGTTATGTCACAGAAGATAGAACTCTTCAGTGATGAGCACTTTATATGAAAACATACTTGATAAATGCTTACTGGATTGAAAAATGGTTTAGTAAAGGTGAAGAGACGTGAAGCACATTATGTACCCAGTAAACTTAAATTTTACAATTTTTGAGATAATTAAATGAAAGGACAGTGCATCAGAATTGTTGCGCAGTGCAATTTCATAACTTGTTAATTATTGTTATGGCCATCTTACAAAAAAGAGGTTGTCTCATGTGCAGATGCTTTCTGGTTGTGTCACAATTATGTCCTCTTCATTTAAAAGATGAAGATCGATCACTGAAATTTTGCATTATAAGAGAGAACTTTGCACTGAATATGTAGGAATGTCAGTAGTCTGTGTGTATGGTGATACAGCTTTGCTGCGAATGTGTTCATAGTAACAGTGTTAAACATAATACATATTGTGTTGGGTGTTTGTGCTTGGAATGGCAAACCTCCCTTCATGATAAGTGTTCTTCTCTGTCTTTCTTTGCTCCTCTTTTCTTCCACTGTTACAAATGTTTCTTTTCTGTTTGTGCTGTACAAAGTTGAAACACCATGCGAAGGAGAAAATCACAGAAGCTGCCACAGATGAGGCACGACTCTTTGCACCTTTGGAACAGGTAGATCTGTACTATGCTTTCGGATGTTTGCATCCTTGGAACAGATCACTGCATGGTGTGCATTCACATGTTTGCATGCTTGGTACAGGTATGCCTCTGTATGGTTGCACTCTTGGAACAGATAGATCTGTACAGGTATGCCTCCGTGTGGTTGCACTCTTGGAACAGATAGATCTGTACATGGTATGCTTCTGTATGGTTGCACCCTTGGAACAGGTAGATCAACATGGCATGCTTTCTTGTTTGCAGCCTTGGAACAGATATAGTATGCTAAGCTTCCAAATTGTTGCACCCATGGAAGAGTTAGATCATACTGTGCTTTCAGATGTTTGCACCCTTGGAAGAGAGAGACAATTATTAGTCCCTTGGAACAGATGGCACTGCTTTCAGATGTTGGTACTCTTGGAGCAGATACATGGCACTGTGCTTTCAATTGTTTGCATGCTTAGAACACATCACCTTTGGACATGCCTTCACTTGTATGATAGTGTCACATGTTAGTAACTAGGCATGGGGTTTGGTTTGACGTTTGTGTTTATTGAACACTTGTATCTCGTAACTACAGATAACTATAATAGTTTCACAGATCTACACACATTACAGATCAGTATACTGTAGCACACAGAGTCTTCTGTTTTCACCAGACTCTGCCAAGTATTGGCTCCCAACAGTGGATATCCCTCTGTTCCTTTGCTCACACCCTCGCTGGATGGTAGTAGGCTCTCAGCTCTGTTCAACTAACATCATAGCGATATTTTCATCTTGCTTGCAGTTCACGTTACAAGCCAAGAAGGCTGCAGGAGAGGCATCCAAGTCCATGCAGGAAGCTAGCAAGTCGGCCCTTGAGGCCAGCAAAACAGCGGCTGGCGTTAGCAAGAACACATTTGAGGACCTGACTTATGTCAGCAAAACTACATTTGGGGACCTCACCAAGAGTGCGAAGGAAGTAGCTGCGAAGAAGGGCCTTCTTAAGGTGCACTGATATTAATAACTGTAGATATGCTGACCAAATATTGCACTTGAGTAGGTAGTACTATTCTGATGACTGCTTATCCTGACAGGATTTTTATGATTTTCCTCTGTCATACCAGACGTATGTCAGAATCGTGCCTTAAATTAGTTTACAGTGGCCTCCTTCCACATCTTTCCAATTTGTTATTCTCTAGTTGTAGTATTATTCAGTGCTGTATTATCCGAGCTACTGATAACATTCCTAAATAAACTATATTCAAGTAAATACACAAGATCTTGCCAAGTCCTTTTATAGGGGTGGAACTCTGTTTGCCGCTGTGAGTGAAAACCACAAGATGAGGGTGTCTGAAAACAGAAATGTGGTCCTGACATATGTGTAACAGCTGATGAGAATATAAAGTGTGAGACCCCATCTCACAGCGTTTACTCTCATCAGCTGTGGTTGTGGTAAATGGGACATGGGAGGTTATGATAAGAGATGGACTGCTGAGTTTGTGTTGTAGTTACATCTACTTTTTGCAGGAACATGATTTTGTCTGCAGGGTTGAACCCACAGTCTGAGCAGTGACTGTCATATAAACCTCAAAACTTGTATAAGAGAGGGGCTATTTGGCAGTATGACAGTAATTGATGGACTGGATTTTAGAGAGATGGACATGATCTGAACTGGAACTTGCTTCAGTTTGTCACTTTGGAACAGATTACTGAAACTGATGATGTTGAATTTGTGCAGGCTCTAGGTGATTCTTCTGACATGGCACCAGGCTCAGCCCAGTCACCGACTCCACCATCTTACGAGCAGAATCTCCCACACCAACCTGGGCATCCTACCCACCAGTCTATGTCAGCTCCCCCTAGCCGGGAGCTTGTTCAGTCAGACCTCAGCAGAACAGCAGGTCGTGATATTCTGGGTTCAGGAGGAAGAGATTTCTTCTCCAATGTGAGCTCTGAGCTGAACGGCATTGCTGCACAGACGTCCAGCATGTTCAGTGGTATCTTCGGCAGGAGAGATGTGGGTATGTTCTGACAGCTGTGTCGGTGTCTGCTTATGCATTCAGATGTGCAGCAACAGTCATCAGAGGAGTTCTGTTGCAGTTGGTGGCTTTTAAAAGAGTTGTATAATAACTTCTCCCTGTCCACTGTCCCTAATGGCCCTGAGCAGGCACCAGCACCCTGCCCTTTACCCCATGGGTTCATTGGATCAAAGCATTTGTACTGGAGTACCCATCCTTCTCACTTCAGCCTTGAAAATGGAGGTACCATGAACCTCTGAAATGTCAGCAACACTAGCCCTATGCAACAGCAGACAGAACATCGGCAATTAGATTCCTATTATACTGTTGTTTTCAGTTTTTTTTTTATATTTAAATTTTTTTTCCGTTTTAAATACATTATTCTTATTTACATTTAGTATGGCCGCGCCATAGCTCAAGTGGTTAGTCTCTGGCTTCTCATTGCGGTGGCCCAGATTCGAGCCCAGGTCTGGTCGAGTGGGATTTGTTGTGAACAAAGTGGCGCTGGGGGCAGGTTTTCTCTGAGTACTTCAGTTTCCCCTGCCAATCTTCATTGCACCAAATTCTCCATCATCATAATCACCCGGGGCAGGCTACAATAGGCCAGTCAGTAGGCCGCCATGCCGAGTGGACCCAGATAGACTCCACCCTGCACTAAGTGAATGCATTACATTTAATATAGTGTTAAATCCTGTTGGTTTTTCAGTGTTATCCAAAATTCAGCCTGTATAACAGGCTTGTAATTACTCATATATATTCCAGAGGTTTGATTGTTTATCTCTGCTTTTTCTGAAAACAGGCATAAAAACTAATTTGTCTTTGCCTTTTTTCATTGCAAATATGAAGACCATTTTGTTTTGTTGTAGCATAATATCAAATTTTAATGTCTTGCATATTTTGTTAAAATTGTATGGTATGGTGTCTTGTGTCATGTTGCTGGAGTAAAGCAATGAAGCTATCAGATCAGCAGTTATGACATCATGTACACACTTCACACTTCAGCCGTGAAAATGGAGGCACTGTGTTCCTCTGAAGCATTGCTATCCATGTATAGGAGTACATGTTGTCACAGCCTAGAACACCACAACATGAACAGTCATGGTTGTGAAATCCTCAGAACTTAAAATGAGGTTATTTTTCTCATATCTTGTGCTGCATATTGTTTTATGAATTTTTAATTATAAGACAATATTTTCTATGTTCTGTTAATAGATTTCTAAGATTATGCCAGTAATTGGCAAAATGATGGCTACTCTGTTTTGAAGATTATAGGCATTATTACCATATTGGAAGTAATTTTTGTTTAATATTGTGACAGGATGACAGAAAGAAGTAGCCATTGCTAGGCAATGGCTGGGTAAACACGTGATAATGTCTGATCTGTTGCGAGGCAACTGCTCAATAAACACATTTCCATGACAATGAACACATGATGTGACAATAGAAGAATTGCTGGAAATGATGTTTTCTGTGTATAGGCACAAAGAGCACCGCAAGTGCACACAGTGTCAGCCCACAACCCAATGTTATGGCTTCAGTGTCAGGCACCAGTGGGGCAAGTGCACCCAAGGCAAAGGAGAAGGCCCAGCCCTTTGGACCCTTTCCAAAAGGCAGGAAGGGCCTGGTGGAGAAGTCATCTCTGATCCGTCATAGCCCCAGCAAATCAAGGCAGGAGGAGCTGCAACGCATGCAAAGTGCAGAGCGATCATCCACCAACACAGAGAACCAGGCCTTCCTCAAAGATGTGAGTTCCAGTCCTACTGGTATCTAATCTGTGATCTGCAAGTCAAAAGGTACAGTTGTTAGTACACATAAGTTGACTCACAACGTATCATCACTGTAATCTTTTATGAAAGTCAGAATTTACAAATTTATCTATAGGTTTCCCACATTTCTTTTAATTCCATATAGGCTAGGATAGTGTGGCGCATTTTATGATATTTACTTCATAACCAGAAAATTCAGGGAATATATATATATATATATATACACAGTAAACTCTTAACTAATCCAGAGTAACTGGGAGGAGAGTCGTATGGATTAAGCAATAATCCAAATTAAAAAAGTAAAAGTAAAGCTATCCCTGTACCAGGCCGTGAAGGCCCATAGGGTTGTGAGACGTTGAGGGTCCCACACTATCTAGACAACGGGCTCAAAGATGGCAGTAAGGTTGTCAGCCTTACGCGCTGGCTGCGCTTTACTCCCCAGGAAAATTATTTAATTAATTCCTGGTACTCATTTCTGTTAGAGGTTTAGTAAACCCCAGGGTCTAGTGCGGCTGGAAGGATTAGGTCAACTGAAAAAATCCAATGACCTCATCAGGACTTGAACCCACGACCTTCCGGCTTGTAGTATAGCCCCTCAACCGACTATGCTACTGTGTGACTCATGTTACTTCCTAAATATCATGTTTTCTTTTAAAGTCTGTATTCAACTATGAATGACATTTCTAATTTTTCATATGTTGATCGAGATTAACTGTAACTGAATTAGTGGGGGTTTACTGTATAACTTCAAATGTGTTTCCCTGGATATCCCTACATCTTCTGCATATCATTAAACATATCGTGGGACTGAACAAGGGGCAGGGGTTGGCTGGTGCAGCTTGGCCAGTGCATGCCTCTCTCTGTCTTTCTCTCTGCATTCATGTTTGTTTTTTTTTCATTCCCTGTCTCTGTTTCTTGTTCTGGTTTCTTCCTAAAAAGTGGAGACTTGCCCATTTGCATTATGAACCAAATGTTCTCAGAGTTATAACCTGCATAAAACTCTGGTTTTGGAGTTCATCAGACTTAGTCTGATTGTGAGCTAAGAAGTTGAGTTGAGCAGCCGTGTGTGATGTTTGAGAGAAACTGGGCATGAAGCCAGAAGTGCAGTGATTGGTCAGTGCTGCACAGAATGCAGTGCAGTGGCCTACAGTGAAATAGTAGAGAACAAAAACAAGCTGACATCAATATCTGAAGTGGCTACTGACAGTGAGTTCATAATTATTCCAAAACAAGATAAGTGTTAAAACTGCTGTAAGAGGTAGGATTGAAGATGGATGCAGCATTACAAGCAATTAAATAATATAAGCACTGGCCACGTCCAGCTGTCATCAGACCAAGATGAACTGGCAGCCTCCCAAAAGAACTGAAATTTGAGTAACATCCAGGATAATGCAGTCGGTATAATGACTGGCAACAGGCTGGACAGCCAAAGAATCAGAGTTTGAGTCACAGTAGGGGTAAGAATTTTCTCTTCACATTGTCCAGATGAGCTCTGGGGCCCACCCAGCCTCCTCTCCAATGGGTACTGGGTGCTCTTTCCCCGGGGGGTAAAGTGGCCAGAGCACAAAGCTCCAACTGGTGCTGAGGTCAAGAAATCGTGGATCTATACAACCCCCCCCCCTCCCCATACTTCTTGAAGGCTTTGACAAGGTGAACACCCAGGTCCACTGTGTGATCCACAGGATCCAGCCTCAACCCAAGGCATTCATGGTGGTGCACCTGAACAGAATTGTGCCGTATCTAGTGTCTACTTTGGATCAGCACTCCATGTACCTTGAGTCAGAAATTGTTCTTGCTTCTCTTTCATTAATTGTATACCATTTTATGAAAGTTTTCAGTTATGTATTGTAGATGTTAAAGAGATGTGGTCAAAGTTATTTTTATAATGAGCCAGTTCTGAGAATATGGATGAAGACTGATTTACGCTCTCATGAATGAGGTTTATATTTGACTGATAAAATAAGTGTTTCGCTATACTTAATGAAGCTCTATGTCATCAAGTTGTATGTGGCAGCACAGGTATAGCTCCATCATTCCTGACCTCAACACTAGATGAAGGTGGGTTATTAGTGTTGCATCCTGGACACCATCCTTCCCCAGGGAACAAGCCCCCGGCACCCACTGGACAGGAGACTTGATAGTACCCGGAGCCGGTTTGGGATGTTGTGGAGAGGAGAGAAATCTCTTGCCCCTGCCAGGAGCCAAATCCCAGTTCCTTGGGCATTCAGTCCATATTCAGTTACTACACCAAATGAGCTCTTATCTGAAATTAAATACACATAACAACATCCAGTTTAAACTCCCTGGTACCTTTTTTCATAAGCACCACTTTCATTAATGAAACATCTTGAATACCAGGCATGGCCTCCCTATTACGCTTTCAGCTTATATGTGCTGTGCACAGAATGCAGCTGTTTCTCTTGACTTACTGTCTTGTATTTCTGTGGTGATCAGGTTGTGAATCAGGTGCTTGAAGGAGAGGGCATAGGTTGGCTCAAGCTGAACCGTCTCAAGAAGCTCATGGAGGATGAAAGTTACCGCAACTTTGTCGTGAGCAAGCTGAATCGTACCCTGGACAGGAAAATCAGCCCTGATGATCACATTGATGATGTGGTGAGTAGACCTGTGATGTAGATTTGTTGCGATATCTAGTAGTATGGGGCATTTGGTCCAGAGAAAGTTTTGTTACAGTGGTCACTGCTCCTGTTTCATATACAGGGAATTCTGTCTTGGATACTTGCTACTCTGGCAAATATTTGTTCTTTTCCTCAGTCTCTCTAAAAAGCATCTAATAGTATATTAAATATGCTGTGATCATTCTCATCATGTATGTCATTCATATTGTGATGTTTATTGCATTTTTGAGTAATTTTTAGTAACCATTCATGATCTTTACATAAGTTTGTTCTTCTTCACTATTATTCCACTGTATGCCACTGCACAATTTTTTTCTTAATGTCATGTCACTGTCTCCTGAATTGAACTAACTTCTTGGCTCATTTTATGCTGCATACTGCTTCTAATCTCACTCAGTCAGCCTCAAATCAAGTGCCTTCTAATTGCCTTGCAACCAACGTTTTATATGAATTATATTTCTCAAAAAGCCCACTGCATACACAAGAGATAAGCCGCACTGCATTTCTGGAAGATGAATGAGCGGCATGTGGCCTGCCTCCCCTCCACATTCAGTCCATGCAACAGTATTCTTACTCAGTGATGTATAACTGAAACAGTTGATATGAACAGGTTGTACACGCTCTGAAGCACAGTGTTAACTGTATGTACCACTTGCCTTAACATTACAAATTTGGGCATTTTGCCCACATACAGTGTTTATGTGTTTCATAAAAAAAATTCCGTGATTTCAGTCAGCAAACGAACCATACCGACCGAGCGACTGCCACTTGTCGGCGAAGTTTAGTGCCAACTTTTGTGGATAGAGGGTGTTGCGTGGCAAGCGCAGCGAATCCCCACGGCCGTTAATTTCGCTTTTCTAGACCAGAGCCACTATTTCCTTGAAATAGCTCCTCAGTCATCATCACGAGGCTGAGTGGACCCCGTTACAGACCCACTACTTCTCCGAAAATCTCTGGTAGTGCCGGGAATCGAACCCGGACCTCTGGATCTGTAGCCAAGAACGCTGACCACTAGATCACATAATGTTTCTTTAAACAACATTAACCTGTTGATATCTATAATGCAGATACTGTTTTTATGAGGCAGGAATTGAATTGTTAAATGTCCTTTGGAAAGAATTAAGCTCCAAGGGGTTTACCATGTTCAGAAACAAAGAAACTAAATGAAGACTACTATCTTCTGGAATGTGATGCTGTGAATTCTTATAAAATTTATCAACAATTTGGAGCCATGTACTACCTCAATTTTCATGATCACAGAGCAATCCAAGCAAGCAATAAAGAAGAAGTGAACGAGTAGCTCGTTGATTACTTGTTCTCGTCTTTGATCCTGAAGATGAAAGTAATATATTCCATTGAAACATAACTGAACTTATACCAGACTATGTGGTGTCACATCGCAGAAAGCAGTAGTACTCATCACAGAACTTTGAGAACCTCAGATCCAACATAGAAGCTAGATGTCTGAGGTTCAAGTCTGCCCAGGTGTGATAAGTAGCTTATTTCTGACAAGTTGAGTAATATAGTCCCCCACCCCCACCTCTCAGTGTTAACCTAAACACATAGTTTTAATACTGACTGCTATAGGAACCTCAAATCTAAGAAAATAAATTGTCTGTATACTGTGCTATATCATATCCACCAAATGAAATGAAGGGTGTTAGTGACTTATTGTACCTGTGTTTTCAGTGTGTAAGCCGACCAGTATGGAAGGGCATGCTAAAGATGCTACAAGCAGTGACATATGGACTTGAGCAAACATTCTCCAACTTTGGTCTGGGTGGCATGGCATCAGCATTTCAGGTGCTGGAGATTGCTCACACACATTACTGGACAAAGGATCTCTCTGAGGCTCAGGGACTGGATCTCGGAGGAGGTGGCACAGCCATGACATCTCAGGCTTCTAGTCCATATGGTAGCCATGAGAACCTGAAGTCTCCTGTCAGTCCACTTACAGGTTCTCCTCTCCCTCATCTCGACTTCTACCAGCAGGATCCCGTGTCACGAAAGTCTTCCCAAGCTGGCGTCAGTGGTGAGTGTTCTGGCTCATGTGCCAATGTTATTAACTTGTTCCTTGCAGTGAAATTTTGGATGATCAACTGTGTTAAAATGCAGATGATATCTAATGTTTTGGAGACACTGTCTGCCGTCATCATCGGAGAGACTGAAGTGATCTCCTCAGATCAAATACAGGTGCAGGGACTAGTTCATGACGGAAGTGATAAAGATAGTGCTCCAGCCTGTCAAGGTGAACAAGATAAACAGGGAGGATGAGTTTTCTGTGAGCAGATCATGGAAGCCTCTCTTCCACTTCTTAAGGAAACGAAAGTAGAAGGTTGTGTCCGATGCCAAGTTAGTGATTTCCTCCTCAGATGAAACTCCACTAGCTGAGACTCCCATTTCCTGCTTCTCAGCCACAGTAGCCTGAATTCCCAGAATCCCACAGTTTGATGCCCTCTTCTGATGATAACATTCTGGTCCTTAAAAGGACTTCATTTATCTCATTTCTGATTCACTGTTCCTGTTAGCTCCAAGCTATCTCCTATTCCCTTCCTGAGGATCCCTGTCACCTGCCTATTTAACCTGGCCACATGCTTGCCCTGTTTGCTTTCAGTCCTGAGGGTAAGAGCAGGAAGTTTCTCAGAAACACTGGCACCCACCCAGACCACAATCTGAAAACTCACTTTTGTTGAAACTCAAAACTTACATCAGCAGCCACTAGGTGGTACATTTTGAGTGCCCCAAGCTTATTAAATTTAACATAATTTTGCATTCTGTTTGTGGGCAGTAGTTGTGTCCAATGGGATGTGTGACCTGCATAAGCAAACTTATGTGCAGCACATCTCTGTTGCTGTTAAACTGGAAGTAGTTAGTATTTAGCATGGAATCTGACTTAGTTTATGAAGATATCAAGGCTTTTTTTTATTGCTAGTGGGGTGGGACTAAGTCCCTTGTACTGCGGCCACTTCTGGCCTATTGTACCAGCCCCAGATGATAGGTGAGGGTGCTTCTGGAGCAGTTGGTGGAATGAAGATTGGCAAGGGAAACCGAAGTACTCTGAGAAAACCTGCTCCATCACCACAAATCCCATTTGACCAGACTCGGGATCAAACCCGGTCCGCTGCAGTGGGAAGCCAGCGACTAAGCACTTGAGCTGTGGCACGGCCCTCGATATCAAGGTTTCTTCCTGTTTCAAAATGTGTGTAAAAGATGTCCACATGGACCAGTTCAATAAGATCATGTCTAAAGCTATAATCTGAAACCAACAGAATAACCAAATGGTCATTTGACAGACCTGTGCCCATTATATGACAGCAATATACCTATATGCCTGCTTGCATTCATATCTTCATGAATATCATAAGGCATGACTGATTAAGTCTACTTGTATATACCGTATTTACTCATGTATAGGCTGCACATTTTTTGCCAAAAATTCAAGAGGAAAACTGGGGTGTGGCTTATATTCGAAATATTCGAAATCACACTTCATTTAAAAAAAATTATATTCATAATTAGTAATACAGGGTGTAATACTCCTGAAATAATATTCCAAGAAAATTATTTTTTCTATAATTTCTGTCTGAAAATTGTGCTGCGGCCTATACATGCGTAAATACGGTATGTACCACTTGGCGCTACAGCCCTGGGTGATTCCACGGCGACATCGGAGCCACTGAAAATGCTCATTCAAATGTAATTAAAGGACCTCATCCCCGAATGTGTTTCAGATTCACCCCCATCCGTGAAACTGGTTCATGACTCCCTCCAGGGTCCCGGGACAGAGGAAGGGCCAGACAATCAATCGGCAGCTGACATGTTGCGTGACCTCCTGAACCAGAAGAGGCAAATTTTGCTGTCAAAGCTCACGTCTATTGACTCTGAGGTAACAGTGAGTCTGTTTTGTTTCACAATTCTTCTAAAAGGCACATGGCAGCAAATTGGATTCAGACAGATGAAAAGAACAACTGGGATGGGTCTCTTGTGCTACACTCCTGATGATGCAATGTGGAAAGAGGAAACTAATTTTTATTGGCCTTTGTTGAGGTCTAGTATACGTACATTTCTCAGTAACACTAGTCAGTAAGGTTATGGTAACAGCCAAAAATCTTAACTCTTAAATTAGTTCCCTGTATAAACATAAAAACTTAACCAGTTTACATACAGTAAATTATCTCTGTGCTTAATTAGTTAAGAATCATGGCATGAAGACAGAGTGGAGGTATAGCTTCACTTTTCTTGACCTTGTTCTGGAAGGAAGTGAATGGTCAGCTTCATTTCCCTGCTGCTTTACCCCCAAGCATAGAGCCCTCGGTACCCATTGGATAGTATAATATTATGATATAATATGAAAATAATTCCTACATGCTGATTCAAGCTCCAAATGCAGAATTTTTCCATTATATAATTTTTTTTGTTTTGAATCTTGTGCCAAAACAGCATGTCTTTCTGTTTCATCTTTGTGACTGTGAGAAAGACCAGTCTCAGCATTTTGAAGGATATACACATTTTGAGGCCCCCAGAATACAAAAAAAAAAAAATTGGTTGATTTTGAGGGGGGGGGCGGTTGATGCCATACCTCTGTATGTGTGGATGGGTGGATGAATGTTCACGTTGCTAATGCTTAATCAGTTGAATGGATTTGATTAAGTTTCACTAATTTATAGAGGCCATGCCACAAAATAAAATTACATTGGTGGTATCTTCAGGAAAATTACAATATGCACAGTAGGACCCCAAATGTGAAATGTTGATTTTGTCAAAACCAGCTTTAGTGAAATGGATTTCATTCTGTTCGTTACTTAGCAACCAACCATGATCTACCAAGTGACAGTAAAAGAAAAGGGGTAAAGCTATCCCTGTAACAGGCTATGAAGGCTCATATATGGTTGTGAGATGTCGAGGCTCTCCCATTTTCTCTAGCAAATTAGGTAACAGATGGCAGCAAGGTTGTCAGCCATACACACCAGCCACATTTTACTCCCCAGGAAGATTCCTGGTACTCATTTCTGTTAAGAGGCTGCGTTGACTCCAGGGCCATAGTGCAGCTGGAAGGATTAGGTCAATTGAAAGGAAATCCACCTCATTGGGACTCGAACCCACAACCTTCTGGCTAGTAGCGTAGTGCTTCAGCCAACTCTGCTGCCACATCCCTGCCAAATACCAGTTTCATTTTTAACATAATACAGTCCAAGATCAGTCGTGTATGAGAAAGTGNTCATTTATCGTGTAGAGTGCAACAGGATGCTTAAATATAATAGTGTATGAGAAAGTAAGTGCTGTTTCTTTTCTTAGTGTGTTCATAATTGTTGTTAACCATTACTGAGAAAATGATGTTCTATGAATGAATAAAAATATATTCTCATTTAAATAACTATTTGGAATAGCGTAACAAGTGGTATTTTTTCATTTTTTGTGTCTTGCATATGAATAGAGAATATAGAATAGAGATAACTGTGCATTTACAACGTGTTTTACTGCAGTTTTTGTGATGGTCACACACAATTTAGTGAAAAGCAACTTGTTTTTATTACATCTTATTGAAAAAAGTGAAATTTTGTTGTGCTATGTTACCATAATTCAATAATTTGTACCCTTTGTCCTCTGACCCAGCTTTACATACTCTTCTTTTATTGAAATTTTTACAACCTTAATAATGTCCATGTTCTTGTAGTCCATAACTGCCCCCTCCCTTCTGTCACCTCACTGATTCTTTCCAGTGACTGTCCTTGTGTGAGTGTCCTCCACTTTCTCTGCCTCTGTGTCTGGATTTAGAAATGTGTTGGCATCTGACATTGTTTGTGCCCATTTCAATTTCATACATAAATTCGCAGTAAAATTACTGTATGGTTTCATGCTTGAGAATGAAGCTGCAGGGTTATTTCCACGCAAGTTATGCATTGAAAGTGATCACAATGATATGAGGCTCTATAAGGGCATGTATAAAGCGCATAAACTAGATATTTCTGCAGTGTGCGAAGTTTGGACATTAATATGACACTGAAGAATTCCATCTCTTGGGATGTGGCGCCTTCTAGATCTTGTGTGAACTGACCTTTTGGAGGAATGTATCACCTCCGTCTTCAGGGTAGAAAATTCTGTGAGCAAGGAAGTAGTGTGAGCAGGTGGCTGTATTAATATGACAAACTTGCCTCATTTAAAGAGATTTGAGAAAGTGTATACTGTCACGTGAAGCGTGGTACGTGGGACAAAATTAACGGGTTCTAGATTGGATGATTGGATTTATTAGCACTTTGGTTACAATCTCTCTTAATCACGTTTAATACAGCACTGTCGCTGACTTACATACAATTTACAGTTTACCGTTGCACATCCAGTAGGATTCTCTGTTTCCACTAGTTTTCTCATAGCAACAGATCTCAACACAGAGACTATCACTTCAAATCACTATGAAGTCTTCTTGTCTTGTATGAACTTCCCATGGCCATCTTCCACTGAGAACTCAGAACTCAGAACTGAACTACTGAACTGCTCCTCATATAGGCTTGGCATGGACCACCCGCAGAAAACCCATCAACTGCTCAGCAACAGATATCATTTGTTGTCAGGTGTGTCCACCCATGCATTGCCTAGCAATGGACGCCCATTTGTTGCCGTTCTGTGTATGTACTGGTCTGTTACCAAGCAATGCTTTTTGACGTTTTGACACATTATCATCGCCAAGGATGTCACAGTGTGCCATGAAGCTGGAGGGTACAGCATTCTTGGACACCAAATGGATGTTTAATAAGAATCTGTAAAGCAGTTAAGGCTTCCCTATCTTCTTCTATTTGCAGTCCATTGAATTAAGTTTAACGTCTGTAACACATCAAGAATTTGTAATCTGTCCATCACAGAATATTCACAGTTTCTAGTTCATGGTGTGTGTGCTGTGATGAGGGACTGGTTCGTAACACACCTGCCTTAGCTATATGTTCTAATTGGTGTATATGCAAGAATGCCCTCAGAGCTGTGTCGTGTCTATTTGCTGTAGCATCTGCTTGCACATAACAATCAAAGAGAACCTCTCAACTGATTTTCATGAAATTTGATATGGGGGAATTTACTAAAATTTGTCCAACATATTCCAGTTTATTTTGGTTAAAGTCAGACAGTGTAATGCAATTTCCGGCCATGCCTAATTGATTTATGCTCACATCTCGTAACTCACTAAATATTTATTCAAACGAAAAATGTTTTCAGCAGATATAGAGACAATTTAAACATGTGTTTTATTCGCAGTAAACATGTTTCTGTGAGTCATACAGCTTTCAAAATAAACAGTATGGATTTTTATGCTGTCTAGAAGTAAGGACAGAGCAAACATACCATGTTATTATGTTATGCAAGTATTTCGTAACTAGTTTGAAGAGACTGGAAGCTGGTCTGAGTAATCATGAATCTTTGTCTTGGTTATTGTGTGAAGGTTGGCAGTGGAATGGTGTGAGTGTGGGAATGACTGCAGTGCATTTTGGTGTGGAGTGTTTGGTATGTGTGCATGGGGACAACCACAGGAAAAACACCAGGTAATGTGACTGACATATTTTGAATGTTTTATTTTCTTTGAAACGTTAAGCTTCACTGCAGCAGAAAGCTGCATCTTATCTCCATCATTATACCTAATGAATCAAGATTTGAGAAAGATGCATTCCTCATAGTGTTGGCCTGACCTGTGAAGCATATATTATTAGTAGCTTAGGCTGTGTTACCAAGCGTATGTTATGTAAATCTAGGAGGAGAGAAAAGCACTTGCAATATTAGGAATTCTGCAGAAGTACTCTTTTTCAGGCCGGAGAATGTTGTTATGCTGAACATGGTTAAATTGGTGGCACGTTAGAAATGCAGGTTAAGGTAAACTCATTATGGACTGTAGTCATTACATTATATAGTTGGTATGTGTATAGTACAGTATAAAAGCGGATAATTCAGAAAAGTGAATAATTTGCTATTCCATTTATATCTGCCATTCATGGTGTCATAACATTAACATGCGGTATTTCCAGCTGTAATTTCGTAGTGATACAGCATCCATGAGATGTGAATCCAAATTTCCAACAACTTAGCCAAAGATAACATTGTGTAGTTTTGAACTTGTAGATGTCTATAAACCAGGATAAATTATATGAAGAATTTTATATCCTGAAGTCTATGATTACATTGTTTCTGGATGACAAATCCAAGCAAACCCTTTCTCTTAGTGACACATGGTGTCAGATAATCCTGGTGGCAGGCAGTGGACTTCAGATATTACACAAATGCTGTCATTTTGCTGTCTCTGTGTGCATCGCTTGCATGAAGTGAATACTCTCAATTATGAACTGTTATTGGAGAGATGAACGCAATAAGAGCAGCATAAACTTAATGAAGAGTGAAATTGTGGTATACATGAAGTATAAGTATACTTGTAAAGACATACCCATTTGTGTTTGAGGAAAAGGATGTCCTCAAAGCAGCAAAGTCAGACAAAAAATGTTTTTTTTTTTTTTAATTCGAATATTGAACCAAAACTGATAAACTGAAAATTTTGATTGTTGATTATTCAAAAAATGCAACAATACTTTTCAGTTTTATGTGTATACCATCAATCTTCTATTTGCCATTGTTCCACTGGCAAGTTCTCCAGATTGTAGGATTCTATATGTTGTTGCAACTTTCAATGTTGTTTGCATTGTATACAGGGTCCTTTGGTATGTATCTGTTCCAACTTATTATTGTCACACCATAAACTTGTTGGCCCACTGTGTGTGAATAGCCTCAGGTCTTTGTGGTGGTCATGGTTACAGTTTATTGGTGAAATATAGTTCCATTGTATATTGGGTCCTCACAGTGGTGACTTGACTACAATCTTCTACATTGTAACTGATTTCTACTTGTCCTGCTCTTCAACCCTGAATATGGAGGCAGTACATTCCTCTGACAAGTCAGTAGGGTTTACCAAACTATTTACAACCCAGAAGGTCATGCTCTTCTAACTTAATTCTGTGTGATAGTAAACAGCTTTGAATCATAAATTATCTCCTTGAATAGTTTGATAAATTTTAATGTCAGGCCTGGCCAAACAGAGCCAGACAGAGCAGAATATTGACCAGTTAGAGCTATGCTTCATGGCCAACTTCTGTTTGGAAAACATTTCATTCTAGTTGTACTCAGATGGCTGCAGGACTGAATAAAGGAAACATTTATATACTGCATGTTGCTTGAACTTCACTTCACTTTTATAAAAGGCTTTACTGGGGAAGCTAAGTCTCAGGCAGTTAGTGACTATAGAAGCCAGGGTAGTCACTGTAGGATTTGTGGTGCTAGAGCAGGTTTTTATCTGAGCAGTTCAGTTTTCTCCTTCCAGTTATCATTCTACTATTGCTTCATACCCATCTGTCATCAGGGGCTGGTACATTAGGCCTATCTGGGGCCACAGTGGCTGCTGTCTGAATCTCGTACTAGTATGACTTCCTTGTGTCCTCATGTAGCCAGTAATTGGAAACGGGTCTAACTTGCATCTTTAGCAAGAGTACACCTTGGCACTATGTGTAGGTGCGGGTATGGAGTATGAGGCCAAATTTACAGCAGAATTTAAGTTAACATCTTTCAGAGCCCCCACATCATTAGCTAAATACATGTCAGTGGTAGGCAGCCCACTCCATAGTGGCAGACAGCTCAGTGTCCTGTCATTTGGTTATATCACATCTTCCACTGCAGTTTATGGCTTTTCTTTTGATTTGAAATTTTGTTTCTTGTAGGGTGGGGCTGAGAACACTTTACACGGCTCAACCGAGGGTGTTGCATCTTGCAATGCATCAGATGCAGGCAGCATCATAACCAATCCTGCATTTACCAGGCAAAGACTGACTGGGCACCACGCCTCGTTCCGCAGTACTGTGTCTGATAGTGAGGTAGAGCAAGGCAATGTAAGTGATGGGCCTAGTCACACAGTTGCGTTCCTACCTCCATACCTCCTTGTCTGTGATCAATTGAAAGTCTTGTAACACTGTAATTAGTGTAATGAAAAGCATTTGCACCAATGTAAGCACAGTTCAGTTAAAATTAAAATTGCTTCTCCTTGGTAATGCATGGCATTTTGTAGGTATCCAAATAAAGTCCTTGAGAACCAAATAGTCACTGAGCTGGTCAAGATATTTCCTGCCTTGTGTCAGATAGAGTGGATCCCCAAAGAAAGGTGTAGGGATGCATTAAGACCTGAGGATCAGCTGTGTGGAAATGGATTTAATATCTGACATTTCAGACACTGTCCCAATCTCCGTAAACAGTGGCTGATGTGGCTTTACAGTGTATTTCTGTTCTTGGAATATGCTCATGGTTGTCCCAGCATGAAGTTTCAATGGAATAGTAGGTGGTCAGATGATTGGCCATAACAATCTCTTTTGCTTATCATTGGTCCATCATTGAGATGTGTTTTGATGGCTGTGTCTTTTTTGATCATATCTGTGACTGGGTGTCTGCTGGAGGGTGAAGTCGAGACTCACACACCATCAAAACTTCAACAAGGATGTGGGATTCACTATAAGTCAGCCATTCATGGCACCCAGCCACAGACAGGATTCAACAAGGGACACCAGTCAAAATATATACTAATAAAGGACCAGTGACATGCAACATATTTTGTGGTGTCTGGTTCTGCCCCACTCTTCCGTTGGTAGTATACACTGGATAAAGTGAGTGCATGATCTGAGGTGTGGATACAGTGTTTGTCACATCAGTTGCAGATGGCGACACTCTCTGGAACATTGGATACCAACTCCATATTCTTGATGCAGGTAAACCGCATTGCATGCAGTTACCATGAAGTTTTTGTATGACAAGAGGAAGGGATGTTGGACATATTGTTCTGCACAGTCTTAGAAGTTGATGATAATTGGACTGCTTTGTACACCTGACTTTGAACCCTTGAGGTTCAGGTCATGGCCTCCTGAGTTGTGACTCCATATAGTCATATGTGGGTTCCAGCATTTCAGGTGGATATCCTGCCTCTTGTCTTTGAGGTTAAGTGTGTAAGATGAAGAATTGGTCAAGTTATACAGGCAGGGAGGGGCTCACCCAGACCAATGAGAGGAGGTAAAGATTTGGAGCCCAGTGTGGACTGTTAGAAACAGCAGGCAGGTGGGGCAATTTTCCTGTGTACATGAGTGCCATAACCTAGAAAATTGTGATCTGAACTCTGTTGTGAAAACCATGGAACTTGGCACATAAGATATGTGCAAGTGGCACAGTTCTCTGCACTGTCTGGTGGTGTGATGAACATTTCTGTTCTCTAGAATGAATGGGTTGGTGTACTGTTAGTGCTGTAAAGTATGGGTTTCCAGCTGTCCCCACATTTTCTAGACAGTTGGCTCACAGATAGCCGTGAGGTTTTCAGCCTTACACACCCCCTGCCCTTTACCCCCAGGAAGATTCCTGGTACTCATTTCTCTTAGACCCCAGGAACATAGCATGGCTGAAGAGATTAAGTCAGTTGAAAAATGCAGTTACCTTGTTGGGAATCGAACCTGTGACCTTTCAGCTTATAGCATAGTGCCTCAACAAACTATGCTACTGCATGCCACTGGATTTCACCATTACTCTTGATATGTTTAATGATTACATTGGAAATGTTGCCTTGATTGTGTGGCGGTCAGTAAGTTTGCAGGATGTAATATTCTCACAACCGAAGGCTCTACACTTATTGTGGATGTGTCAATGGGATCTGTCAATAATTGCTGGTAACACTGCACGTCCATTTGCATGATATCTACCACTTTTATAAGTACAGGTCAGTTTAACATGTCTTTTCGATTGGAACAGCAGTCCAAGAATGAAGTTTGTGCTGTGATTTGGTTTTTTGAATGCAAGAACTGTGACAGTAGCAGCAATTCATCACCAGCACATGGAAGTTTATAGCAAAGATATTATGAGTCAGCAGAATGCAGCAAAATGATGTGCAGAATTTTGAGGTGGAGGGATCAGCATGGAGGTGTGTGAAAGGAGTAGCAAACCAACAACAGTAAGAACTGCCGATGCCTGTGCACTTGTGGAAAATTCAGTCCACAACAGAAGGAAAATTGCAGTGAGTGAACTGCAGTATGGCTAGAATCTGTTGCATGAAACATTTATCAACATCATTCAGGGGTGGACAACTCCAGTCACCCCAGTAGCACCTAGACCTCTGCTGGGTCCATTCTCTCCCCCCCCTGCTCGGGCCCTTTAATTGCCATGGCCTTTGCTAGAATCAAAGCCCTTCAGTTTGAGACCCTCATAATATCTATTGGCTGAACCCATGCAGAAGCAAAGTCATATTCATCCAAGTTGGACAGTGACATCTTCTTTTTGGGCTGCTGTCAGCAGGATGTCCCAGATGCTCTTGTTGTTCGTAGACAGTGACATTAGAGCCTCCACAACTGGTCCTAATTGGACCCACAATCAAGCCCCAGTCAAGCCTTCTGTTTATATAATGCCATTACTTGATGCCTACTTTTATTGATACAGTAAGAACAGTGAGATTGTGAGGATGTTACTGTGTTTTAATCCTCTCTCTTCCACAGCAAATAGACACTGACAAGCTGTGTAAATATGTTGGTAGTATATGAATGACAGTGGAGGGGGTGTCTCAGTTATGAATGGGAAAATACTGAATTATGTACTCCAAATTTGGAGTTGATGTCTGTTCTTCACAGCATAAGTGTACTTGAGCTTAGCATCGAGACTATGACAAAGCCCACCTGGGCAGCAAGTTGACAGTGTAAGGATTAAGGTTTGCTGGCATTAAACATGCTAAATTTAATTATCAGATAATAAGCAACACCTTTCCTGCTCCCATCTTAAGTTTCATGAACTTTTATTACACTGTAATTTATGAAGTATGTCCCTGGTTTCTGTTCACACTTGCCAACTGCCATGTTGATCCTTTGTCTCTGTTCAGTTCCCTCGCCAGGCAAAGCAGCGGACACCGAGTGTATGGTCCAGCAAATCATCCCTCAGTACTGGCTTCCGTTACCATGGTGGCAGCATGATCAACACAGCTACCACTCCCAGTCCTGATACTGGTCGGACATATCTGTTTGAAGGTTTGTACTTTTGAATAATGCCTACTTCTGCTCTAATCAGTTGAACCCCAAATTTAGTGGCCAAAATTTACAAAGTGATGAAAACGTGTATGCATTTCTATAGCATGTAGGATGAGTTGAGTCCCAAAACGTGACCGATTGTAAGTTCAGGACCACTTTAAACTGTGAACTGTTGTTGTGGCAGGCCTGATAGGGAAGGAACGCTCAACTCTGTGGGACCAGATGCAGTTTTGGGAAGATGCCTTCCTGGATGCAGTGTCACAGGAACGAGACATGGTTGGCATGGACCAGGGTCCTGGCGAGATGATGGAAAGGTCCGTATCTTGCATCTTCCTGATGTAGGCCCTCAACTTGAGTGAAGCTTTGAAGGGAGACTGGAAATGGGTGTGCTTTTAGTATCTACACCTGAAAACCAAATTACATTTTGTTTCCCATATAATCAAAATACAGGCTGGCCATAATTTATTCACCACATTTCAGGTACACAGAAAACAGAGTATGCTGAATACAGAGAATCAGTTTGCTTTACTTGAAAGAACAACTCCTCAAGTTCAGTACATCTAAATGTGAGCGCTACTTGTAGCTCGCAGAACATCTAAACAGTACTCAGTTTCACACCACGTGTTTTCCTTCATATGAGGTGTCGCAGAAGGAACCACATTGTTGATTCATGCATGAAATTCAACCACACTGCCAATTTTTGGATGAAATACCTGATCTTTTACATAGCCCTCAAAGAGAAAGTACAGTGGAGTTATATCGGGGGAGGGAGGGGGCCGAAGGGTTAGTCCATCCTGCTCAAGTCATCTGTTTGGAAAAGTTTTATTCAGAGACCCTCACTGTAAGGCTCCAGTGAGGAGTGGCACCATCTTGTTGAAAGAAAACGTTTGTTTGAAGGTGTGCCGTCTGTGGGACTGCACTGAAAAGCTTCACGGATCACCTCAACTGTATCAGCGTCTGCTAAAACCTTGCTTTTGCCCTTCTTATGAGGGCACTACCTGTCTCTTGAAACTGTTCCAACCATCGTTTGAAGGACTGTCTTTTCAGGTGCTTGTTCCCCATATTCCCAACAGTAACTGATTCGGTCTCCCAGTACAACGCAGGCATTACCCTTTGGGTGGGGGGGATCGACTTTTGCGTTTGTTGTCTGTGTATGTTTCAGCAGTGCCATCATTGAAAATTTTTGAGTGGTTCTTTTGAATAATGCAGTCAATTTCCTGATATATCCAAAACTTTATGATTTATGTAAGTTTGAAATAATTTATGGCTGCCCTGTACTCTTGTTGAAAATAAGCAGTAAATTCTGATGGGTCTGGTGGTATCGAGATAAGTTCCTGAACCCTAATTGGGAAGGTTCTCAGACAGATTCCTGATGAGGTCTGTGTGCAATGTTACTGTTTCTAGATTAAAACTTTGGGAACATGAAGAATACGGGACTGTTTTGTACATAGGTACCAACATTTCTGAGAAATATGCTGTCTGCAGGTTCCTCTGAGATGTTGGTACCTCTCTAGCTAACTGCAAGACTGCAAGTCTTATCTTGGTAGTTATAAATGTTACTGTTTGTCACTCATGAAGCTATTACAGTGGGGATCTGTTGAACTGTTTCCCCTTAGGTACAACTCTCTGAGTGACACAGAACGCAAGCGGTTAGAGCATGATGAGGACCGTCTTCTGTCAACTATGCTGTATAATCTGGTGGCAATAATGGTGATGGTGAATGTGAACAAGTTTGAGCTGAAGCGTAAGGTGCGAAGACTTTTGGGCAAAAGCCATATTGGTCTGGTGTACAGCCAGGAGGTGAATGAACTGCTTGACCAGATCAACAATTTGGTAAGAATCCAATGCACCTTCCACAATTCGTAGTGAAAGTCAGTACCATAAATTAGGTAAAGAGAGGCTAGGTGGGAGAAGTGAGAGGCACATGAAATTTTGCTTTGGAAAATTCTTCTAGAGAATGACTATTTGAAGGACCAAGATGAGGATGACCGTGTATTTGGGAGGCTTCAGTGTTGGTATTACTGATGGGAGGGAATTATGAAGTATGTCATTGAGATGGCCTCAGGTGGCATGATATGGATACCAAGTTAAATAAAGATGAGTTTAGGCATTCAGAAGTTGTTTGGGGAAGGGGGTGTTTATGCATGCACATACAAAGCATTTTGATTTCATTGGCCAACTATTATTTTTTTTGTTTTATTTTATTTTACTTCATTATATATATATATTTTCAAAATAAGGAAAGTAAGCTAGAAATGCCCTAAATTGTATTAGTTCATACTTTGTTTATGTCAGTCTAGTCCACGGTTCTAATTTCAAAAGGAGAACTTGCTTCTGATGAGGTTCAGTCCAGTATAGGCTGTACACAGTGGTATGATGAAGATACATAGCACCAAATGATTAGGCACACTGAAGTTGATGAAACACATGGAGAATAATATATTGTGACATCATGACTGAAAGAGACTCTCATTGCTATGCAGTGGCCCAGTAAACAATGACTGTGATTCGATGTTTTCTATGCAGTCTGTGCCTAGGCAATATGACCAAACCAGACAGCCATAGCCAGCAGGGTTTGCTACTGTTGATGAAGATATTCCTGTTAATTTTCAACCCTGTGACATCTGAAAAGAAATACAATCCTTGAAATTAGGAAAGGCCTTTCATTTTGGTGGCATTCCAAATGCATATTTCCAGCTTCATCCAAGAAGACCTCTCATGAATTTAACACATTTATTCAATCACAGCCTTCAGCTTGATCACCTTGGAAGGAGGCAAAAATCGTAACTCTGCCAAAACCTGGCAAAATTTACATCTGATCAGCCTCTTGTCCACTATGTTCAAATTATTTGAGAAGCCGGTTTTAAGAACAATCCTAAAATACACTGAGGTAGTAAACTTACTAAATACAAATCAGTGAGGCTTTCAGGCAGGTCACAGTACTACACTTCGGTGTATGAGGCTGGTGGATCACGTCACCTACAATTTCAGCAGTATATGTTGACAGCTGCTATGTTGTTGGATATCGATAAAGCTTTCAACACAACATAGCACTCTGCTCTACTACATAAATTGTCAGAATTATAATTACATATCCTTATTAAGCTTTTCTTGCTGACAGAAAATCTAAAGTCTTGATAGAAGGCAAATTTTCTACACCAAGAAAAATAGCTGCAGGGGTTCCTCAAGGTTCTGTCCTTGCCACAGCATTGTACAGTCTGTACATAATGATAACCTTGTGGCACCTGGAACTCATCTTGCTTTGTTTGTGAATGATACCTGTATTTACATGACAGAGAAATATGAATGTCATGTTCTCTGCAAAGTGCAGCGAATTCGTGGTGTGACTGCTGAAACATAAATATCAATTGAGGGAACGCTCATGCAGTCTATTTCTCCAAAAGACTTAGAGTCTCTGATATACTACAACTAAGTAGTGTTACTGTGTAAGTATGTCACGACATAATGGGACTGTTAGCTAGAAATACATATCATAGGAAAAAGGTTTCCCTTTAAGCCAGTAAAGGATAATAGTGTGAGTTGGACTTAGTTGGCTCAAGAGAGATCTTAATTTTTGGCTTTTATGTTGTTGGAGCAGAAGTTCAGGCATCCAATATCACCAAATTTATGTTATGGCCTTTTGGGATGTGACATCACGTAATTTTATAGATGGGTACTGGCGTTCTTCTGAAATGTTGGTACCTATCTACCAGTTTGCACAAGATCATGTCACAGTAATTTGTAATGTTAGTGCTCAGTGCTGTGAGAATCTTCAGTCTCTTGTGGCCTGCATCTTGCACCACTTACCATGTTGTAATGTTCATTACAGCATGGTAATGACATCGACCTCAAGCCACTGGGTTCACGCCAGGTCCATCGACAGAGCTTCACAGTTCATGCTGGCGTTGATGCGTCAGGAGACCTGCTGTTCCTAGAAGTACGAGAAGATGGCCTGGTGCTACGTTCCGTTAATGGCACAATTGTTGAACGCTGGTGGTTTGAACGTCTTGTTAATATGACATACAGCCCAAAAAACAAGGTTCTTTGCCTTTGGAGACGCAATGGAGGACAAACACAGCTGCACAAGTACTACACAAAGAAGGTAGAATGATCTGGTGTAAGAATATGGACTCACTGCATGCAGCAGAGTCATTTTGAGAAGCTAACTTTTCTGAGAGGATGTTTCTTACCTTTTGTAGAACCGTGTTCACACAAGCCCACCCTGGTCCCTATGTACGTTTTTGTATAAAATAATTCTAACTTGCAACATTAATGACATAGGCTGATTCATTGTTAATTTTCTTGTGTTAGAAAACATATCACCCCAGACGACAGTCTGCTTTCTCTTGTTTGTCACTTTGTAATATGTCCATGATAACCATCACAAACTGCCCATGGTTTGTAGATGACTTGAGATACTATATTCTTGGAGTTTGTGTGGTTCTCCTCAGTTTCTTCATACTGTATCTTTATTCAAATTGTCTAGTGCCCTTCACACTCTGCTCATGTTACTTGAATTGTTCGCTTGGCAGTACAGTTCCACTAAAATCCAACCAAGAACTGAGTTCTGTTGTTGCTGGATCCATTTTGGTCAGAATCTGTTTGATAGAAATTGGGACAGGATAATGTTGAAATGGAAGGTCCTCAGGGTATGAACTGTATTTAACTCAGTACCATGGCCAGACGGTGGTGTTGGTTATATCACAGGTGGACAGACATGAGGTGTTCAAAATTGACCCTGTTCTGTTGAGTTCTAAAATGACATGTAAATCTGAAGTCAGGAGTCAAGGAATGTAGTCTCGTGACCACGAATGAAGTGCTGGTAAGTAATTTCCCACTCATAATTCAGGAGTTAGCTTTTTGAGTTCCCACAGTCTCACTTATTCACTTGAGGCTCTGAGGAAATGGTGAACCACATCCAAAAAATCTCTTTTATGAATGTTATCTCATGCCCAGCATATGTGATGTGTGTTGGCAACACGTGGCATGTCAGAAGGAAGAAATTAATCCTGTCTGTCAGTTGGAGGTGAGAGACACAGCAGGGCACCAGAAAATACTTATCCACTGTTTTCTGGTTACTAAAATATTTGTCTGGGTGCCACGTTTTCAAATCTTTCATGATCCTTTCTGAAATCACATAACTCTGAAGTGATGTGTTAAACCTGAAAGGACTTAACTTAGTGATATACAGGAAGCAGATAATACTGTGTGCTGCAGAAGGAACAGGTGTTGATCCTGTTCATGTTGTTTGCAGTGTAAGGAACTGTACTATGCCATCAAGGAAGCCATGGAGCGGGCTGCAGCCCGTGGCAGTGGTGTTCTGGCTGGTCTGGAACTGGGTGGGGAATTTCCTGTTCAAGATATGCGTACAGGAGAAGGTGGTCTGTTGCAGGTGTGCATGGAAGGCGTTGGTCTGCTCTTCGCAAACAGCAAGGTAAAGGTGTGCGGCACGTTGGATGTGTCACCACTGTGGTGCCAAACTGCTGACCTCTCGCACTACTGACAGGACAGAACATTCCATATGATTAATTTGGGCCCAGTATATACTTGTTGAAGGACTAGTATTTATGAGGCTGCCCTGTTTTTTTCGACATCTTTGAAAAGTTTTCCCTCATTTTTTCTGAACACATTCAGTAGCTGAAGGGAATAATGGGCACAGTATCTGCCTTAAAAGTATAGATTGCTGTAATTAATCAAATATTTTCAGGGTCAAAGCTGCTGCCTGCTTCAAGTTTGTTTGGCGTTGCTGAAATGTGGTTCACAAATACTTCATACATTTATTATTATTAGAGGGGGCGGGTTTCCCCATGCACTTAGACCAGTTATTGGTCCATTGTGCGTCCCCCTTTAATTTCTACTGTCACCATACCCTACTGGTACTGGTGCGTACTATCAGCCCCATTCAGCCAACAAGGTCGGCCCTCAGTACCTGGTATTTCCCCCATCTACCAGAGGTATTGGAAACTACTTGGGCGGGAAACTTGTTGCCTAATTTTGCTCAGAGGTCTCATAGAGACATGAGGATCTTTTATGTGCCGTAAATCTACGACAGGTGACCCACGGCTTAAAGTCCCTCCCAGAGGACTTTTTCCCTGAATTTTCCACGACCTCCGCCGGGTTTCAACCCATGTACCTTGAGTCATGAGGTGGGAACGTTACCCCTAGACTACTGAGGCCGCTTTCATACATTTAAGTACACAGAAATATGCACGAGAAGGTTTTAAAGACAGCCACAGCCACTTGTTTGGTATTAATCTTTATCAACCAGGGATAAGAGATTTTAAATTCCACAGAACTGTGGGCCTAGCAGCTGTATCCTAATTTTTTGGCAACCTTTAATGTTAGGGAATAGAGATTTTAAGTATCCCTGTATTATAAAGGGGCCACCAGCATTCCAACTTGTGGGCTCAGTGTTACAGAAACATGTAATTTCCTTGTTGGACTGAAATGATGTGTAAATCTGAAGGCAGGATGGAAAGTAAAGTTGTCTGGCTGGTAGAGGTGAGTGAAAGATTTGTCCTGGTGACTAAATTTGCCACTCAGGGTCCAGGAATTGGCTTCTGCAGTTCTGGCAATCTCATCTCTTCACGCATAGCCCAGAAGAATTGGGGAACCACATGCAAAGAAGTTTAATATCAACATATTAGTAAGTCCAGCTGTATTGTGTACCTGCACTGTTGCACCAATGCAGTAGTTGGTTCATTATATCAGTATTATGTTGGACATTGTCTGGCCTCTGAAGTATAATTGATACAAATATTCTATCGTGAGTATCATGTACCACCATCTTCAGGAGAGTGGTTATCATTGTACTGACAGGTTGTTTGTAATTTTTATCTGTATGAACAGGAACAGTGACTGGCTTACTAATGCTGTTAGTATCTAGTGGTTAGCTTACTAGTGAGGTATTTAAAAAGTCTTTACTGAATCCCGAGTATTACCGCTAATACTGAACTAGCAAATATAATAAAATAAGCTGTCAGTGCAATAGCTGCAGTAATACACCTGATAACAGGGGTAGAGCTGCTTCCTGGAACACAGTGCAGTGGAAACCCCATTTAATGTTACTCAAATCAGAGTTTTCCCTCATTTAACTTTAGTTCCACTGATCCCAAGTCAGTAATCTCTGTGTTCAGTCGCCTTCTTGTGAGAATTTCCTCAGTTTAACGTTTCAGACCAATGATACCCAAAAGAAACCTTACATAAGGCTTTCACTGTATATCAGATGTTTATATGACAGATAGAGGAAATTTAAAGTTAGGCTTGTGCAGTCACCGATTTCTCCACAATCAGCAGAGCCCATGTTGCTTACTGTTGTGTGTTTTGGTGGTGGTGAGCGAGGGGGGGTGCAGGACTGAAGAGGTAATTTATTATTCAGTACTTGTGCCAGTTTATGAATATAATAGTATTTCTTTTGGGTTTACTAAGTTTTTGGACTTTCTCCATAGTTCAAAAGAATGCAGTGTTTCAGAAACTGCATCTGTTTCTGTCCTCACGTGAAAGGGTGGAAGGCATCTACTCTGTTGGGTCCATTAGAAAGTGGATGTTTAGTTTTTAATATTGTCCTGATATTTTAAAATTAAACACACTGTTAGGAGTTGACTCGTGAGAACCGTACTGGTGAGAGATCTGCAGCAGATGGCACATTGCACATTGCACATTGCATCTATAGCATTCCCTGTGACTGTGGCAGAAGCTCCCTCAGTGAAACAGACCCACTTGCTGTGAGGCTCTTTGAACATAGGTACAGTTTCAGAGAGTGTCTTACAGAGAAATCAGACCTGACCCAATGTGCCTGTGAAGGTCATAGGGTAGGTTCAGATGAAGCTAGGATTTTGGAAGTTGAAAATAACAACAGATAAAGGAAGTACAAGGAGTCAGCCCATATGGTGTGTTTAACAAGTTGGATTAGCCAACCCAATATGGAAATTTTGTATGGATTCATTCCCCTTGTCAGTAATGAGGCTGTTGACTTAGAAGGAAGGTTGATATGATCTGACAGACTCATCATGTATGTCTGTATGATAGTAGTTCTGAGGTTCAGTTTTTGTTCCACAGATGGTGCTAGCAGTAGGTGGGATTTGGTTGTTGGTTTGGTCTTTATGTTCCTTTTTATAATTCGTATTGTTAATGTTCCTGTTATCTCCCACTGACAAAACCTGATCTTAGATGTGTATACTGACATAGGTTTTCCTGGTGAGACAGTGTAATATGGTCCAGAGTCCCACAGGACTCAGAACCAAGATTGACTGTGGTTGTGAGGACCAGCAACAATTTACATGACCCAACATAGGTTTCCCTGTGATTGAGGTTAGTTCTTTCTAATGAATCCAACAGCATAGGTGCCTGCCATACTTCCACCTGAGGACAGAAAACATTGGGTTCTTTAGAATACTGGACAAGGAACAAAGTTAAGAAAACTCAGTGATCCTGAGTGTTACACAAACCTTCAGAATTGTTTTTTTTGGGGGGTGGGGAGGCGTGAAGCTTTGTGTTGTGCGCGGAGGTCAGCAGTTGGTTGATGATTGCAGTGCAAACCTGCCATTTACTCTGTAGGCAGTACTGTTTGCATTATGAACATATGTTTCCTTGCAGCATCGGGTTGCGACACAAGAGTTGGCATGTGGCAGAATGGGATCTGTGGTGTTGAGACATAAATATGTTGTATGCTGTGCAGTTTAATTGCTGTTCTTTGAGAATAATGTGGAAATTTGTGTACAGCCTCTTATGCCTGTTTCCCTACATATGTTACTGTAATTACTGTAACCTGTGTATGAAAGTGCTTTAAACATCTTTATCAAATGTTACGGTAACCACATTCCACACTGTGTACATTTTGTATGATTCCCCCCCCCATCATTTCCATTTTGTATGGGTCAGTGATCTCTTGTATTTTCCTGCAGTCTTTACTTTTTGATTTCTTACTAGCTATTTCCACTCTGTCTGATGTATTCCGGAATCCAGCTGAACCATGTTGTTCTTGTTTAGCCCATAGATTTCTTTCCTTTAAATTTTAGTTTTGTCACTTAGTGATGGCATTGTCCATTTTAGCATTTTGTAAGTTCAGAAAAATCTTATGAAGTCTCTGTTGTTAGTCCCAAAAGTTAATATTTTTCATTCAAATTAATATTTTCTGCAAAGAAAACCAAGACTTAATGACTGACTGACCAACCATCAGTCGCAATGTGACTTTGACTTTGACTTTGTGTGGTGGTAATGTTGTTAGTAGCCCACACGTTTGCATGGCACTACATTGGCATTGTGTATGACAAGAATTTATGGAAGAAAGTACAAAGATACGCTGCCCTCCAGTGTAGTGTTGATCACACTGATTATTGCGGAATTAAGCCAGTCAGGATATCTAGGAAGTCATTAAAGTATCAAGATTGCATTCATGTCTTGATGAAATCTAAGGATGAACTTGGCCTTTTATGTTGCTATGTATCTTGACCTCATTCCATTTCTCCATCCACTTTTGGTCAACATATAAATTCAAGAGTGCTTTCCATCATCTTGTTTTAACCCTTAATAGCTATAGAGACTGAACCTTATCTGATAATAATCATAACTTAAACAGTTAGCTGACCTGCCATGACATTACCTTCTATGCCAGACACTGTAACTGGTCTTGCATAGCAGTATGTCTCTGTGCCAAATTAATGGTTTGTTCAGTGTGAAGGAGTGGCATTCTCTCAGACTCAGAGCAGTGGCAAAAGTGTGTTAGAATATTTACTAGTTCTGCATCTGTGAAGAGTGTTCATCCTAACTTTCATGGAACACTGACCATGTGGTCAGAAAAAAAAAAATGAATACAGCAATTTAGAAGCCAACAAAGATGGTGATCTCTTATGTGGATATTTAAGGATGTGGTAATACAGATAAAAAGTACTGTTCTCAGGAATGTGATGCTGTGTTGTCTGGTGAAGTTCCTGTCATTTTGCATGAACATACTGCTGCCATCTTCACAGAAAATGAGCCAAGTAAATGGAAGTGCTAAGTTTAAAAAGAAACCTGTTACTGTGGGTGGTAGGAGTACTTACAAGACAGTAACCTAAAAGGACACCTTCCAAATCAGGACTGATAGATGGTCCTATTTGCATAAGATACCTAGGAGAAGATGAAACAACCACATATCCTATGCGAGTGTGAGGCCATAGCTTATTTTAGATTTTGTCACCTCGACCACTATTTTATGGAACACTCTGAGTATTGTGACACCCCTGTAAGCAGAGTCCTGCACTTCATTTGAAGTGTAGGACTGTTGAAGGGTTAAAATAGAGGAGTATGCATGATAGATCATTAAAGGTCATGATGCAAGGGCCAACAGTTAGGCCAACTCATGTGCGCGTGTGTGTGTGTGTGTGCATGTGTAAGCCAAGAACATAATCAGCACACAGCTCTCTGCTTGACAGAGAATATAGTTATAATGACAAACAGTCTGATGGAAGGATAAACTACTGTGGTGAGAATTTGTAGAAGGGCCTAGCGAATAATATTTTAGATTGGGAGATGTGAGGTTCTCATGGTGATGAAGATTCATGTTGTGGTCGGTGAAATGCTGTTGTGTTGCAAGGGCAGTGTGAATTCAACATGTGTAGGCCTAAGAACCATGGCACCCCTTTAAAGCACAGTAAGAAATCCTGCAGTTTACCCACAGTTTGTGTTTATGTGATTCATGCAATTCTTATGGTAAAAAGTAATTATTTCCAGTAATTATAACCAGTTGATCTTTATAACGGAGGTGCAGTGTGTTTTCTGTGATATGGGAACTAGCTTTGAAATAGTTATTTAGATGAAATGCTTTAATTTCACATAGTCAGTTCTTATGTAGTGTGGAAAGAGTGGGTAGTCTTGCAGTCTGCGCAGTGCAGGACAAACTCCAATAGAAACATGTGGAATTACAGCTGAACTGAGGAAGAAGGGTGTTACCATTTTTGTATAAGAAGAAAGAGAAAGAAAGTACCACCTGAAGAAGGAAAGGTATCAGTTTAAGTGTTTATGGCTTGATGCTTTAACCTCAGCACAGTAAGGCACTTGTTCTCACATCATACTGAAGTGACTGTGAAACCAGGAACAAAAGACAGAGTGAACCAACTCAGTGAAACACACGTAAAATTCGCAGGAAACAGATGTGCTGAATGTTAGCCTGTAGGATTTTTTTTTTCTCATGCAAAACATTTCGGCTGTTAGTGCTATGGTTTTTCATGGATTTGTGACTGATTCTCGATGCCCAGCAAAAGCTGGTACATCAGTATATGTGTCCATTGGAAAGAGTTTGAAGAAGCCTTTTCCTGTGCGTGAGTCATAAATAAGCAACAAAAAGACATGCTGTTGTGTTTGTGTTTGTAGAAATGATTGAGAGACAGGTGTTGATTGGTTGATGTGCCAGGGCCAGAGGGAAACAATTTGTACACGTAGTGTGTAATAAATTTTTCAGTTTAAAGGTTAGCAATTCCTTGTACAAAATTTTATATCGTTTCCCCCCTTATTAATATATTTACTTTGATTTCTAATTATGTAAACAGTACCACTTAAATAGTAAAATTCTTATTTTCATAATCCAGCATTTGAATGAATAGAGTTCATTGGGTGTGGTTTATAAATTCCTTGTAAGTACAGTGTCTTAATTTTAAGAGATTCAGTCATGATAGATTTTTATTGTGGGATGTAAAAAGAATGTGTAGCTGAATTACTGTTAGGGAGTGACGCTTTACTGAAGGTGCTGAAGAGACAATTTATAGAGTGAGTGTAGCATCAGTTTATGGTTCTGGCTCAAAGATGCACCGAAACCCAGTCAAAACAGCTCACTTTTCATTGTGAGTCATGTCTCCAAAGTCTTTAAAACTCTGTCAGTAACTTTACTACGAGTATTGTCACTTTGTCATATCCTGAAGATGGTTTCACATGTCTGGTGAAGCTGTGCAGTGTGAGACAATGTAAATGCACAATCATCTGTATGCTGCAAGGATCCATTCAGATCCAACTTACAGAAACATCTTTGTAGTTAGGTTGCAGTCTTCTGCAAGGTGAATCTGTGTAGTGTGGTAGAACAGTACTAACATTTCAGGGGAACATGTTGCCTCCATCTTCAGGGTAGAAGACTGCCTTACTCTTCTGCTCTCCAGATTCACTCCTTGGCCAAAATACAGATTCTTTATAATGTTAAAGCAGGTGAAGCATGTAGTTACCACACCACTTTAACAGGTGAGCTATGTGAGTCTGCATAAAAGGAATGCATAATGGAGATGTTGTGTCTGTCTGTATATTTCACCTTCACAGTCAACTTTTTACATTTAATTAAATTTGCTTGTGAATTGAATTTCATGTCAGCCGTTACCAGCCCACTGTAAAACAGTAACTTTTGAAATCAGAATTCATCAAATTTCTCATAAAATCTCCACACCATGCAGAAAGTGTATGTGACATAATGTGTGTATAATCCTGTGTTACTGAAGTTTCAGGACTCAGATTTTTAAAAATATTCTTTACGGTATGAATGGATTTCATGTGCACAGCAATGAACTAAGCCTCTTATCCGCAACTGCATCAGGTGTAGGAAGGTTTGTTCCTGTGCTGTAGAAGGTGTCAACTGATGTCTGTATGCTTGCAGCGTCAATTTGCTGCATCAGTTGACTCTCCAGGATTGAAGAACGAAGAAGAAGCACAAGTTTTTTAAGCTGAAGAGAAGTGCTTATCTGTCTTACAGACTGTTCATTACAAACATACAGTAATGCAACACCATCATGTCCACATATGTGACTTGTGAACTCAGTGTTACAAAGGTGTGACAGTTTTTAAGACAGTGCCACTTGCACTGTGTTCCCCACATTTGCGTCTGCACAACATAAACAAGCACCATAAGGCCGTTGTTATGCTGGCTTTGAAACCTTAAAAGTTTGTGTAACATTGTAACTGCACACTGTGCCTTGCAGGACCTTAGGAACACTGGCAATGATGTATGAGTGCAGGGACAGGAGTTCATAACTGTTCTGTATTAACTGGATATACTGTTACTCCTGGAACTTCATGAACAAAGGTTGTATCATGTGTAATTTTTATCTGGACCTTTTCCTTTTTTGTGGCTTTTATTTTCAAAATGCAAGGAACAGTCACTGTTCAGTGTAATACTCTTGCTGCTAGTCATTCCTGTCAGCATTAGATTTGTATCTGCTCCAAGCAGACGTCGGTGAGAGTCTCTGAAGTTGTAGGACTAAAATGGAGGATGCCTTCGTTGCTGTATCATACTGTAGAACTGACTGAATGATGACTATGAAATGGATGCAGCAGATTGTTTCAGAATGTTGGTACCCACACATCATCACACGGAATGATATGCTGGGAGGTTGTAGTAATATGATTGTATGGTACGAAACCACAGACCCCATGTGCTGCATCAGTGCAAAGAGTGTGTTCTGTTTGTAACTGTCCCAGTTATGGTCACTTCCTTGATGACTGTACTTCCTGTGTACTTGTTGCAGTCTGAAGACCTCCAAAATTTATATTATTACTGGCAGATATTATCATGCTCACCAAACTGTTGCAAGTGCCATGTTGTGTTGGCAGCACTGTGTCGCAACAACATGGACTTAACAGTGGTTTGGGAAAAAGCAGTGATTGGTCTGTATACCAAGCTAGTCGCTCTGCCAAAAGAATCCTATAAAATAAAATTGTCTTGATCTGACCTGCACGAAGTAGCGGCTGAATGCCGTGCGGCCAGTGCCAACTCTTCTGTCCGTATGTACTGATGATACTGGTGTGTTTTATTATTATGATTGTAGCTGCAAGGACCTCTCAAAACTTTCCTACTATTTGTATTCAGCAACATGAGACATGCCCTCGCCCCATAGATGTAACTCAGCATTTTATGTTTTTTGTCATTTTTCATTATTGATCATTCTTTGTTTTGGTTTTTCTTTAGTAACTTATGTTGAAAGATTTTGCAGTGATGATTTGTCCCCCTCCCATGGAACATTGTCCCCCCACCCTCTCTAAAGTTACATGGGAAGGTAGTAGTGTTTCAGTTTTGGTTATGTTTTGTTTCCTTTCAATTCGGTGTTTCATTCTGCATGAGTGCTCTCCGTTTCGCTCCGTGTCATGCTCTTTAACAATTAACTTTACATTTAGTTTTTATTTACTTTTTTTGAATGTTGTCTGCCCTTTATCTCTCTCTCTCTTTCTTGTGAGTGGGAAATATGAAACAAGAGGAAATATATTTTAACACAGACTCTTAATATATAACAAATGAAAAGCTTAGGAACTTTTGAGATGGTCCTTGGATGCATATTGGTGTATTTCAGATATTTGAGCTTTAAAAAATGAAAAGGAAAGAAATAGACACCACGCTTACAAACCACAACTGCAGTCTGGTGGTGGGTAGCCACATTACAATTATATTGTGTTTTTCCTCTCCAATATTTCTTTAATGATATTTACTTTTATGTTTCCACGCATCCAATCGATCGGGTGGATGTGCCAGGATTTTGAGGTACTGAGTGGTGTTGTGGCCACACTGTGTTGGTCTGCTTAGTCCTGTAGTCGTCCTCCTCCACGTAGAAGTGATTGCTGTGAAATTTAGAATTCTCACATGTGACAACCTGGTAGCATGACATGCACTCCCAGTCCACTTTACAGTGGGGACATTTCATTTCAGAACAGACCATCTCTCAAGTTTCCTATGCCACACTAGTCTGTAGTTCTTCAGCTTGTGCATGTAGTATTGCATGTCTCAGTGGTCAGTACTGGTGTTGCTGCTTTCATTTTCAACTTGTTTGGCACTGGCTCTGTGCTCTGAATGTGTGAATATCTGTTACCTGTGTCAGACTTGGTCCAACATTGTTATTCCAGTCCAGAATGAATTTTGCACATCTAAACTTTAAATAGAATTTATCTGTTCTCTTAAATTTCATGTGTACAAATAATTGTCCCTCAGAAGGGATCTTCTGTGAACCTTATATTTGGGCAGTCCAGTGTTGAAGCAAGTCCTGACATCTTTAAAATGTGGCCTTGTGGCATTTCACATGGGTCAGATTTCTGCAGTACAGAATAATCCTATGTAAGGGTCATTCAGTGAAAAGACAAGAGCAGTCTTATCTCCACTGTGTCAGTTGCATGTTCTCGCTATGTCAGCTATTTGCTCAGTAGTGTGTTTGTCTTCATACATTTTATAAATTGCATGGTATTGATCAGAAGAGTGATAAAGCTGACAGTGGAAATTATCGAGACACGACTGTTACAGTCTACACAACAAAATTATAACCAAACATTCTTCTGTTATAATTATGTAGATGAAATTATTGGTGACTATCAGTATGGATTTTGTTCGCAGTAGAGCAGATAGTCATCAGATATTCTGCATGTCAGTTAGTGAAGAAAAATGCAGGAGTACAGTGTGACAATACATCAGCTGTTTATAGACATCAAGAAAGTTAAGACAGAAGTAATATTGTACAGTATTCCAATTGAATTCAGTGTTCCCCATAAAACTGGTGAGGGTAATTAAAATAATGTATATTTGCAACTTGTAAGAAAGTTTTTGTAGGTTAACGTTTTTCTGGTATGTTTCCTATTCAGAATGGTTTTCAGAAGGGAGATGCCCTATCACTATTGCTTTTCAGTTTTGCTTTAGAATTTTCCATCAGGAAGCTGCAAGAAAAGCATTCAGGACTGAAACTGAATTGGACACATCACCTCTTTTTCCTTGCTGTTGGTGTTAATTTATTGGAGGAATACATAAACACATTAAAGGAAGCAGAGAGCTCCATTAGATACTGTTAAGGAGTTGGTCTAGAAGTAAACGCAGAACCAAGTATATGTTGGTGACTTGTCACCAGAATGCAGGACAGAATCATAACATAATGATAGCCAACAGATCCTTTGAAAATGTTTCACAGTTCAGATATCTAGAAACGGCCATAATAAGTCAGAGTTATACTGATGAAGACAGTAAATTTGGGGAATGCTTGCTATGACTTAGCACAGACTCTTTGCCCCTCCATCTGATCTCAAAAAATTTAAAGAATGAAATATACAAAACTGCGGTTTTACCCGTTGTTTTGTATTGCTGTGAAATGTGTCTGTCACATTAAGGGAAGACTAGACTTGAGTCTTTGAGAACAGGGTGCTGAGGAGAATATTTTGATCTAAGAGGGAGAAAGTGACAGACTGGAGAGAATTGTTTAATGAGGAGCTTTATAGTATACTCTTCACCAAATGTTATTTGTATGATCAAAATTAACAAGAATGAGATGAATGGGCAGGACAGAAGAGAAATGCACACAAAATTTTAGTTGGAAAATCTGAAGGGATGATACTGCTTCCAAGACCTAAACATAGATGGAGGAATAGTATTAAGATTGGTCTCAACTGTTGTGGAAGCGTGTCAGCTTAATACATCTGGTTTAGGATAGGAACCTGTGATGGCAGTTGTGAACACAATAATGAACCATGATGTTCCAAATATTCAGGTAATTTCTTAGCCAGCCAAACAGCCTGTAACTTCACAGGAAGATCTGTGCTCCATTTGATTACATGTGGTGCAGGGGGGATACTGGATTTGGATTTGAGACACATAGTTGGTCATGGATGGTGGAGTCTGGAAATGTAGATTCCTGTGCAAATTGAAGATGGCAAACCTATGAAGAGATAATGCCAAGAGGATGTGTTAGTCTTTGCCATTTTACATAGCAGAAAGGAAGACAAAGGGATTCTAAATTGAATCGTAGCAATCACTGCCAGAATTTAATCTCTTCTTCATATCTTCATGAATGTAATTCTGATTTGTTACAGCAGTTCCCAAATATTGAAACTTGACAACATTTTGCAGGTCTTGTTAGATAACATCATGATTTTGTACTGCATTCTGGTGATGAGGCATTAAGATATACTCAGTTTTATTTACGTGGTGTGTTCAAAAAGTATTGAACCTTTGGTTGGCAGAAATACATTTATTGATTTGGAGGTACAAAACCCTAATTCCCTTCAAAGTAGTCTCCTTGGTAATGCACACACTTCTCCCAGCGCTTCCGCCATTTTTGGAAACACTTCAGGAATGCGTCTTTTGGAATGGTGATCAGCCGGGCTGTCGCATTCCGCATGATGTCTTCTCTTGACTCAAATCGGGTTCCTTTCAGCGGCATTTTCAGCTTGGGAAATAGCCAAAAGTCACACGGAGCCATGTCAGGGGAGTAGGGAGCCTGACGAACCACAGGGATGTTGTGTTTGGCGATGAAAGTCTGAATCAGATTCGCAGTTTCAGTACGAATTTCGTGGACATTCTCCTCATGCCCAAATCCTCGGTCAAAATTGAATGTACCGATTCAGTGCTTACCCCTGTCTCGTTCGCAAGTTCTCAGACTGTGATACGACAGTCCTCCATGACCAAAGTCTGCACTTGCTCAATGACATTCTCATTTCGGCTTGTTGAGGGTCTGCCTGAACGCGGTTCGCTGTCCACTGATGTGCGGCCATCTTTGAAGTGGTGGTACCACCCCTTTATCCATGAGTTGCTCATGGCATCGTCCCCGAAAGCCTGTTGAATCTTGCGAATGGTTTCCACTTGGGTATCGCCAAGCTTTTGGCAAAATTTGATTCAATATTGCTGCACATGTTGTTCCGGCATTTTACACCTTACTGGAATCCGACGAACGCTCACTACATGTCCTCGCTCATAGGCCGACTGCCAGCGACTGACGCTTTCTGCGGGCGGGAAAAAATTCACGACTGCGCATGCATGTCCCCTCCTCATCTCCACCGAAGGGAGCCTCCCACGCTTCATTGGATTATGCGGGGAAAAAGAAGGCTCGATACTTTTTGAACACACCAAGTACGTTTACTTTTACTAATTAAGTTATTGAATGTTTTTTTTTTTGTTTCATTTATGTTTCCCACAGTAAATTAATATAATCAGCATAGACCAGAAGCTGTTGTGTCCCATTTAATTTCAGCCCCACCTGGTTTTCTTGGACATTCCTGATGGCATATTCTAAAGCAAAGTTGAAGAGTAATGGTGGTAAAAACATCTGGTTTAAGACCTGTTGGCCTCCTACAGTCTCTTATATCTTCCTTGAATTGAAAAGACTGCTGCAGAACAGTGGCACATGGTGGAGCAGTTTCTCATAAAACCTATCTCTTCCACTGGAGTAATTGATTTTAATTTAGGGTTTTTTTAAGTTGTTATGTAATTACTGCATGGAGAGTTCTCTTGAAATATATTCTATCCAATCAGCTGCAGCTCAGTGTGATGTGTTTGAGATCACACTGCCTGCGGTATGATGATTAGTGGATTGTTACCTTGTACCAGTTGTAGTGGCAAGGATTCTAATTTTCAAGTTATGTGTTCAGATGTCAGGCCTGGCAACTCAACTCTTGCAGTTGTTTCTTTCAGAAAGTAAAATTTTAAGGTACAGCTGTTCTTGGTGAAGTATATTTTAATGAAAAAAGTGGTCACTAATTTTAGAAGATGAACTGAAATGCTTTTTATGATATGACAGTTTATCATACAGTGATTTAAGATATGATGTTGACATTGTTTCACTAACAAACGGGTGAAGCCAGAAAGGGGAAGATATGTCATATGAGAAACTGAATGAACCAACCTGCAGGCAGCAACATGATTAAAGTTTTTTTTTATATAGAGAGTTTCTGAAAAATTGTGTTTATGGTATGATAAGGGGATATCAAACACAGTCTTGAAGTCTCTGTCAATGTATATTGAAGAATGATCAATTTTTTGAGTTAGGAAAACTGCAAAACTTTCCAAAGTTTGTAAGAATAAAGATATCCAATATATGCATGTACTATATACGTATATGTATATATATACCTATATGTAATTACATACCCTCATAATTTGAGTGTTATTAATTCTTTTCAGTTCTAACCACTATATATTATGTTACTGACAAGGAAAGCAACCATATCTTGGGTGAGAAACAGGCATTTCTGCTCATGTATGATGAATGTATCTGTCAGGTCCTACATACTTTGCATATGGCTCTGAAGCCAAGCCTCCCTGATCACACAGTCAGTATCTAATTTTGGTGCCACATATGCCACAGAGCCTGAAGGACCTGCGGCACACTTCTGGTGTATATGATCATGCCCATGCTATGCTCATGCATCAACTTAAGTGAACAATGCTTTGGGGGCAGTACATGTACAGTAGAAACGTATGTCATATAATAATCTTTTTTTAAGGGGCTCACCATACCATAGTTGGTTGAGACAGTATGCTACAAGCCAAAAGGTCACAGGTATGAGGTCAGTGGATTTTTCAGTTGGCCAAATCCTTCCAGCCGCACTATGTCCTTGGGGTTGACTCAGTCTCTAACAGAAATGGGTGCCAGGAATTTACCTTGGGGTGAAGGGCAGGTGGCACATAAGGCTGACAGCCTCATCACCATCTCTGAGGCCTGATTGTCTAGAAAATGGGAGCCTCAGTGTCTCACAGCCCTGTGGGCCTCCACAGCCTGTTATAGGGATCATAATAATCGTTTTAATCCTGATCTTTTTGGTTTTAGTGTGAGATGATGTAGTTCCATAGTATAGACACAAGGTTGGGGTGGCGTTTTGTATGTATGGGCATTTGTTGTCAGAAACATTTACGAACAGTTACTCTTCTTGGAAGATCTGTTATGCAGTGCATGGTATAGAATCTGAGGCATGTGCTTGTGCCCGCTTGATGTCTCAGAAAGTTGTATGGCATCTAACACATTCTTTGTTCTCACAGTTTTTCGTGCGCCTGGATCACATTCGCAAGTGCTTCACACAGAAGGGTGGCATTTTTGTCCTGGAGGAATACAGTGAGTAGCAGATTGTCTTATATAAATTGAGGGCATTGTGTGTGTTATGTTAACACTGCTAGCAGCATTATGAAAATGTACTTCCTGGCATTGTGAGGGTGTTCCAATCATAGTAGAACAGGGTGTGCATCAGCTTGTTCTAGCCCATTTCTGCTCTCCTTAATATAGAACAAGACTTAAGCTTACACCGGTCTAGAAAACTGAGATTAACAGCCATGGGGATCTGTTGTGCTTACCATGTGACACCCTCTATCCACAAAATGTTGACACTAACTTTGCCGACAAGCAGTGGTCGCTAGGTCAGTATAGTTTGCTTGCGGACTACAGGCCACAGAGTTCAGTTTGTACCTAATCTTATAACTTGATTCCATATCACAGCAGGATGCAAAAACTAAAGTTAAATTTTGATATTACTGAGAGAGGAGACGTAAACAAATTTGTATATGTTGGCGTATGAGGGTCACAAATTGATAATGCAGTATCTCTTCACTTTTTGCAATATTGCATTATTGTAATTCTCATAATCTGATTTCCTCACGACAATCATAGATGTGATGTTCATGTACCAGCAGCCAGTAGAGCTGAATGCCTAAATGATTTTGTCTTCAAAAATAAATTGAAACTAAACTTGCAGATCAGCAGTAATGACTGCACCGAAACATGTCATAACAATTAAACACATTTTCAAATTACAGTGCCTGTAACAGAGTTGTTTGATATAGTGGTAATGCTCTAGACTTGTAATCAAGATGTGCTCAGTTCAAGTCTCAACCAATACTCCAGCTGTCATGACCAAGATATTTTCATGGTGTTCCTCTCCATCCAGGCAAATGCTGGAGTAGTAAATTTATTAGGCAGGACTGCTTCCTTCTAATTGCTTTCCAATTCATCATTCACTGTTATCCGGTGCTATATACTTTGAGATGCTGATAGTATCATAAAATAAGTTGCTGTGCAGAAACAGTAGGGAAGGGAACATAAAAATAAAGAGAATATATTAGCGTGTGCATCAATGTTATTTATTGTTGCTATCAGTAACTAGATTATATAGCATCAGATAATACAACTGATGGAAGATGATTTGGAAGGAAAAGGCTGTAGCCTAATTGAGATACTATCCCAGTATTTTTCCTAGAGGGACAGAGGAATACCACAGAAAACCTCGATCAGGATAGTCAATATCCCAGCTGAGACACAATCTTAGCACCTCCTGCATGCAAGTATAGAACATTACAATAAACCCTCAGTAATCCAGAGTAACTGGGGAAGAGGTCATCCGGATTAAGTGATAATCTGGATTAATAAAGCTAACGACACTGCCTATAACTTTTTTTTTCTGCATCCCATTGTGTTTATTACAAATGGAGATACTGTATACCATCAACTTACTTACTCATGGAGCTGAGCCCTTCTGGAGGAGCCACCAATTCTGCAGCTACTCAAGAATTTCCCAGCATTTTATTGAACCCAAAGGTTCATTGCCGTGTTCACAAGAGCCCTCCACTGATCCTTATCCTGAGCTAGATCTCTCCAATCCATACCATCCCATCTTCTCTCTAAGATCCATTCTAATATTGTCCACCCACCTATGCCTTGGTCTTCCCTGTGGTCTCTTTCCCTCTGGCTTTCCCACCAATATCCTATATGCATTTCTTGTCTCCCCCATTCGTGCTACATGACCTGCCCACCTCATCCTCGTATACCATCAACACAACTGTTTAACATTCAGTATGTTTTATTTTCTGCTGCATGTTTTGGCTTCGATTACTGGCCCATCTCCACATGATACAATACTTCAGACATCAGTTTATTCAGTTGTCGTGCCTATATTCTGTTGAGTGATACATATCGCTCATCTCTTCAGAACTCATTGTAATCTTGCTTTCTGTTCTCCACAGATCCAAAGACGAGGCAGATGATACAGCGCAAGTACAAGTCCTCTATGGTGAGTTACAGAGTGGAATGTTCTGGTATGACTTGCCCAATTGCCACATGTTAACTTAAAACAAATTTAGTTACATTCCACCATATCAGACTACTACAGCAGTGTGGCTGTTTTTATGCATTCTTTGCATACTGTACAAGAAAGTGCATGTTGGAATGGTCTTGTCTGTCTAGATGTTTGTATGTTTCAGTGTGAGACCTGCTACAAGGATTCTCATGAATTTCTTTATGAATATTATGCAATTCAAGACCCTTACCTGAGGTTCTGCTCTTTAATTACCTAGTCATTAGTTGTAACTTTGTACACACATGAACTTCTGAGGTGGGAAGAGCACTGTCACAGCTACAGAATAACGTACAATAACCAAGGTACCTTGTAGGATCATTCTGCAGTCTTTCTTAAAGGACTGAATCACCTCACTGAAGGGTTTTCTGCTAATGTGCCACGTATTATAAAAAAGGACCTGCATTTCATAAAGAAAATTAATTGTTTAGAAGAATTCACTGTCACAATAGGTACTTAGAGTGTCTCCCTCTTGCTTTTAAATGAACTTCAGGTCTCTTGAAAAAGTTGTTTGACAGTAGTATAAGTTCACTGACCTGAATAGATGTAATTGTTTCATAGATACTGTGCTTAAGTTCATGCAGTGTATTGGAATTATTTGAAAGTGCTTTTTAGGTTTCCCCACAGATAAAATTGCAGGGATTTAAATGTGGAGACCTTTCAGGCCACAATATACAATTTTTAGTCACTCTTCAAATACATCAAAATATTAATGGAAAAATTATCAGTGTGTGCTGTAGCACCATCATGCATGAAACAACCATATGTCCTTTCTTCTTCTGTAATGCGCCCAAGAAAGAGCTGGAGTGTCATTGACATGCTGCTGTGAATGAACTGCCTGTTCAAAAAATATGGATGCTCTTACTTACGTAGTAATAATGGCACACCACTCATGTCCTTGATCTTGCTCTCCTTTACACTACATGTTTCGGCCTCAAACGGCCATCATCAGGTGTATACACCCACGTTGCTGTTACACTGCACTTAGTTTAAAATTTAACTTTTAAAAACACATTGTTCCTTTCGTTGTTATTATCAACATCTACTTCGTTGATATCTGTCTGATTTATAGATTATTTTTGTTACACACGTTAACACTTATAAAATCTCTAGTTCTAATTTTAAAATCCTTCAAATTTTTCTCTAAATTTTAAAATTTAAAATTTAAAATTGTCAGGGTTACTCGCCCTATGTCTATAGTGCTGCATCGGCTAGTTCTTGTTTCCAGCACTGTACAGATGTTATTTTGTGTAGTCTCCCTGTGTGCGTGCCGCTGCTATTCTTTACTACGTGTGGTGTCACATCCCAGAAGAAAAACATGCCATTATTTCCCTAATATTGTATTACACATTCAGTTTCTTTCATAATGAAAGAGTTGTTCAGAGAGAGCCTGTACTTTCTCTGAGCCAATTGTCTAGAAAAAATGTGGGATCCTCGACATCACATGACCCAGCGGGCCTCTGCAGTCTATTACAGGGATAGCTTTGCCCTTTTTTTATATTCAGTGGGTTGTATCCACAGAAATGTCAGGCCTTCTCTGAACTATGTGGCATTACAACTGAGAAGACAGTGCTCCTCACGTCCCCACCCTGAGAACCTAAAATCTAAGAGAGTGATCAAGAATGATTACAATTTGACATCTTCTAATATAGATATATCATACCAAATTTCATTAAAAGTTGTCTACTGATTTTAAAATTCAAATAGTCTCTGACATTAAGGGAGGCATATAGACTGAGGGTGTTTGAGAACAGGGTGTTCGAGGAGAATATTTGGATCGAAGAGAGCTGAAGTGACAGGAGGTTGGGAAGGAGACCACAGGGAAGACCAAGGCATAGTTGGATGGACAATTCTAGAATGGATCTTAGAGAGATAGGATGGGATGGTATGATTTGATTGATCTGGCTCAGGATAGGGACCAGTGGAGGGCTCTTGTGAACACGGTAATGAAACTTCGGGTTCCATAAAATGCTGGGAAATTCTTGAGTAGCTGCAGAATTGGCAGCTCCTCCAGAAGGGCTCAGCTCCATGAGTAAGTAAGTAAGTAAGTAAGTAGTGAGACTAATCAGTTAACTTCAGTATGCCGTCTGGTTCCCACTCTATCTCATTCCTTCTAACTTGAAGATTATTTTGTCTTTGGCTGCCTTCTCCCATATGCCACTGAATCACCGTACAGTTTCTACTGCAGAACTTCACCAGTTTAATCCTGACTTTGTTTGTTTCAGCATGGCAAATCTGGTTTGGTTTTCTGGTATTCATTCATCTGGCAGTGGACTACAGCTTGGTTTTCTGATTGTGGAACTGAGTTAAAAAAAGTCCTCTTGTTGAGATGAATGGTTCCAATGTAGACTTAATTTTTAAATATAATGGTGTAACTTTCACGCTGACTTTCTGCAATGAAGTCTTAGGTGATCAGCCACATGAAGATGGAAATGATGTCCTGTGTTTCAGATATTATCTCTGCCTCCATCATCAGGGGTTGATATGCTGTTTGATGCAGCTGCACATTGTTTTCATTCTCACAGAATCTTCGTTTGGTTGTCACATCCACAAAGCTGTGAGGGAACTGTAGGCGAAGTCAGGTGGTCATTGGGATAGGACACCAGTGATGACCTCACTTCAGCCACTGTTCCCTCAGCATCCTGTGCCGTGACAGCTGAGAGCTGACTGTGGGTGTAAGTACAATGTGTAGTTGCATCACTTTTCACATTAGCCTCTGATGCTGGAGACAGAGACAACCTTTGAAACATCAGATACTAACTCCATCTTTACAAAGCTGATCCTGAGAAAGTGTCATTCCATTACATATTCAAATTGTCAGACTTAGTCCAACATCTCACCAAAAGATTTTTCAAACAAGAGCATTTGACAGGGTACACTGTGTGAGTGTACTTGGAAATAAGCAGCAGGGCTGTTTCATCCTGTTTGAGTGTTGCATTAAATTGAATTGGAATGTGATTAAAAAATTTCACAAATGTGGGTATAAGTCTGACAGATAAACCAAAAGGTTATTGAATCATAGCTGAAGAGACAGAAGTTGTGGCATGCTGTGTCTTGATGTTGTGTCTGTGTCTCTGTCCAGGCTGAAGGGCTGAATCTGTCCTTGCATCGAGTCATATCCATTAGAGTCACACAGCAGATGATTGTGTGGCTGCACCCTCCTGCCTGAGTGCATGCTGTTGTTTTGCTTTGGTTTGTAGCTTGTTCATATTTTCTTTTTGTTTGTTTGATTTATTCATGTACAGAGGGTGTCCGTAACTGTATTCACAGTCAGTCTGAACAAACTGTGATATATCTGTTCAGGGTATGTCTTTTATTTTTAGGACCTCATGGTTTATCACCTCCACAAAATCCCTCCATCAGATCCTGTTTCAGTAATTTTAGTTGAGTTCATATTTTGTGTTCTGTGATCCATTGAATTTCTGTCCTCATATCTGTACCTTGGTCTGCCAAGAGGGTTTGCATCCACAACTTTTACCTATTTCCCAGTCAAACTTATCCATCTTTCATATCTCCACCATGTTAATTTAGGAAACCAGTAGATTTTATTGAGGATTTTGAGTCACTTTGTGTTTGTGTATATCTGAATGTCCTCCTTAGTGCTCTGTTCTCAAATTACGTTCATCTGGCCTTCTTCCCTCAGAGAAATCTAGTTCCCCCACCTCTTTGCTCTTCATCCTAACAAGTATCAGGCCTACTGAGACTAGTTAGAGATGTCTTCCCAAGCTTCTTTTCCCTTTTTGTTGATATTTTAAGATCACTTTTGGAATTCCACCAATGTTTTATTTTCAGTTACCTCTGGAATGCTCAAAGAAAGTGTTGTATGTGGAATATTTTTTAAATATGTTTCATGCACATGTTTAAGAACTTTTCTCTTATACTATCGGAAAGTTCCTGGGACTGTTGTTGTAACTGCCTCAGTGAAAGAAGATGAGAGGGGAGGCCAAGGTCACACTTCTGCAAGTCTGTTGCTTCAGTTTGCCACAATCAAGTGTCAGTTGAAGATGATGAACGTTCAGGGCATCCAAGCACCAGCAAAACGACAGAATATGTTGAAAAATTTTGAGAACTCATCCATGAACACTGTCGCTGAACAATCCATGAGCTCGCAGACACCATTTGGATCAGTTATGGCGTTTGCCAGGAGATCTTAACAGAAAATTTGAACATATGCTGCATTGCCGTGAAGATTGTTCCCCAACTCGACAAAGGATTAAAAGCGGCAGTGTGTAAACATGTGTCTTGAGCTATGAGGACCCAACTTTTACGAGTATATCTAGGATCATAACAGGTGACGAAAGTTGGATTTACGGTTATGATCCAGAAACAGCAGTGCAAGAGCCCACAATCACCAAGAGCCAAAAAAGGCACGTCAGGCTTGGAGTTCAATAGAGAGCATGGTCATTGTTTTTTTTGGCATGAAGGGGATTGTTCCCCATGAATTTGTTCCTCCTAACGCTACAGTCAACTCTGACTTTACTGTGATGTTTTGAGATGCTTGAGAGAAAATATGTGACGAAAAAGGCCAGAACTTTGGCGTAATCATGACTTGACTCCTTTATCACGATAACTCGCCCACCCACACGTCCCTGAAAACCACAGAGTTTGTGACTAACAACAACATGATTATCATTCCCCATTCTCCCTACTCACCAGACTTAGCCCCCTGTGATTTCGCTTTGTTTCCCAAATTGAAAATGAAACTGAAGGGACAACATTTTGAAACAATGTCTGACATTCAAAGGGAATTGCAGACGGTACTCGACAGCTTTTGATGCATGGGGAAAAAAACAATTGGATCATTGTATACATTCCCAAGGAGACTGTTTCGAAGGAGATGGCAGCTAAAATTGAGTAAGTTAAGCCAACACTTCTTTTTTGTCCTAGTCCAGGAACTTTCCGATACACTTCGTATATATGTTTACCGACATATGTATATGTATGTGCACCCCCACACACACACACACACATTAGAAATACAATGTTATTTGGGCCATGAAAATAAGAGGGATGTAGCTTTGACTATTTCCCGGACATTAAAAACTTTATAGAAGTATATATGAATTTATGAAGGTTACCAGTCTAGTAGAAGCTTGGAAAAGAATGACAAGAGAGATGAACTCTGCTGATTCACACAAAATTTTGAATAGGTGGAAGAATTACTCCTCTTAGCTGTTGAATGTCTGTAGGGTTAATAATGTTATGTAGATGGAAATAGAGCTGAGCCTAGTCCTTTTGAGATGCACCTGCTATTGCGGAGTTCAGGTGGTGTAAATCGCGATATATTGATCAAATTCTGGCAGAAGTGATTCAAGTAAGAGATGAAACATTATGTTCTGGGATCTATAAAGTCATTAATTCTATTTGGAAGAAGGAAAAATTGCGTAAGCGGTGAAAGGAGTCTATTATTTTACCAATTTAGAAGAAGGGTAATAAAACTAATTATAGTGTTCACCAAAGCATATCAGCTTCATACAAAATGTTTTCCAGCATCCTTCTCTCAAGGCAAAATTCCTATATAGACAGCATTAATGGGGATCACCACTGAGGGTTTTCGTAAGACAAATTGACTACTGATCCGATTTTCTGCATTTGTCAGATACAGGAGGAAAATGGAAGTACAGTGAGACAGTATATCAGCTATTTATGGCAAGGAAGCATATTGTTCAGGTAGGAGGGAAGTATTGTACAGTATTCTTATGTAGTTTGGGTTACCCATTGAACCAGTAAGGCTAATTGAAATGTGTTTAAATTAAACAAATAGTAAAATCCATATAGGTAAACATTTGTCTGATAGTTTTCCCATTCAAAATGGCCTAAACAGAGGAGACGAATTGTCACAGTTGCTTTTCAACATAGGAAGGTCCAGAAAGTACAGGTGGAGTGGAAATTGCATAGAATACATCAGATTTTGGTCTGTGTTGCTGATGTAAATCTGATGGAGTATATAGTAAATATACATTAAAGAAAAATAAAAGTTGTAATAGATGCTAGTAAGGAAGTTGGTCTAGAAGTAAACACAGATAACACAAAGTATAATTTCATGTCTTGTCACCAGAATTCAGGACAGAATTGTGGTGTGTAGACAGCTAATTAATCCTTTGAAAATATGACAAAGTTCAAATACATATTTGGGAAGGATAGTGAAGGACCAAAATTTGAAACAGGAAATTAAGGGCAGATTGAATTCAGGTAATACTTGCTGCCATTCAGTTCAGAACCTTTTATCTTCTTGCATGCTGTCTAAAGATGCAAAGATTAAAATGTACAAGAGTATAATTTTGCCTGTAATTTTGTATGGGTGTGAGACTTGGTTTCTGATATAGAAGGAAGAACACGGACTGAGAGTGTTTGAGAACAGAGTGCTGAGGAGAATATTTGGACTAAGTAGGGATGAAATGATAGGAGGCTGGAGAAAATTGCATAATGAAGAGCTCCATAAACTTGTTCTCCTCACCAAATATAATTAGAAAGATAAAGTGAAGGAGTATGAGATGGGACAGTCATGTAGCCTGCATGGGAGAGAAAAAAGGAATGTATGCAGGGTTTTTATAAGAAAACGAAAGAAAGATGACAACAAGACTTAGATGTAAATGGGAGAATACTATTAAAATAGACGTCCATTGTTTATCTTCCATCAAAATTGCAACACTTTTACATTTTACACTTCAGCACTACATGTTTCGGCCTCAAACGGCCATCTTCAGGTGTTTTTATGTTACAGATATTTTACTAAAACTGTGTTAAAAACTGCTACACTGTTTTAATTCGTGTCAAAATCACATGATGTAGTCTTCTTTTTAAGTAAAACGAGATAAAATCCTTTAAAATTTCTGTTGCATATTGTTTCACCTCACCCGTGGTGTCGTCATTTTTTGTAAATGTATCAAGGTGTCTTTCTCGGCAGCTTGCCCCTCACGTTCGTGGTCTACTTTCAGTTTTTGACCGCTATATGCTCCTGGTTTGTGTATGCTTCCTTTAAAGTGTGTGGTGTATTTACTTGAAAGTAGACCATGAACGTGAGGGGCAAGCTGCTGAGAAAGACCTTGATACATTTACGAAAATGACGACACCCTGGGTGAGGTGAAACAAAATGCAACAGAAATATTAAAGGATTTTATCTCGTTTTACTTAAAAAGAAGACTACAGCATGTGATTTTGACACAAATTAAAACAGTGTAGCAGTTTTTAACACAGTTTTAGTAAAATATCTGTAACATAAAAACACCTGAAGATGGCCGTTTGGGGCCGAAACATGTAGTGTTGAAGTGTAAAATGTAAAAGTGTTGCAATTTTGAAGGAAGATAAACAATGGACGCTAATTTGAACAATTGCAATGGGATGCTGAAATACAGAATCATTAAAATAGATTTCTAGAGAAATGGGATGGGGGGTATGGTCTGGATTCAAGTCACTTAGGATGCAGACCAGTGCCTGGCTCTTGTGAACATGGTATGAACCTTTTCGTTCCATAAATTGCTGGGAATTTCTTGAGTGCTTGAGCAACTGATAGCTTTTAGAGAATTACTTAGCTACATGGAGGGAGTGAGTTGGTTGATTTGTTTGTTTGTAGTTAGGTAGGTAGTTTGTGTGTTTTTTGGTTATAAGATGAGTTTATGAAGAAATGAATTGTGTTCAGCCGCCTCAGTATATGGAGCAATGGCAGGCTTATATCATTATGATTATGAACCCCAAGTTTTGACACAGGAAATTCCATGACTAGGTGAATAACTATCAGTTGCTTATAGAAAACTGCGATATAAAGTTTCAGTGGATAGGTCAGTTATTTAGTTCATTTCCAAAGTACCTGTGCTTTTGACATATTGCCAGTGTCAATCTTGCTTTGCAGTCGGACCAAATCTGCTATGCCGTGCTGTGTGTGTTCTCATACATCGCAGCAGGCCAGGAACAGCGACGCTTGCAGCAACACATGTCAGCAGAACTCCCAGCTTCGCGACGTCACTGACCCGTGCACCAGTCTCTACAGTTCACTGTGGCAAACAGTGATGAGGCTTGTGCACTTTACTGTCTACCGTGGATGTAGCCCTGTTCATTCTCATTACTCCCAGTTTCACCCAACTGAGTACTTTCACACAAATTCTGAGGTAGAATTCAGAGAGTTCCATAATTTCATATGCTGTGCCTATTCACTTTTAATTGGTTTAACTGTCCGGAACTAAGTACTTAACATTTATTGCATGATTATGAACAGTAAGTTTTGGAGTGATAACTACAAATGGTAAATTGGGAATACTATAGAGGAAAGTGATCATGGTGTTTGTTAAAAAATATTTGTAAAGCTGGGATTATGGACAAATCGTTAATTTTTAATTAGGATTAGCAAAGAGACAGAATTAATGTTGATTTGCTGCTTACTATTTGAGGTTGTGAAACTGAGTTGAGAGTTGTACAGTGTCATGAATTTTGCTTCCCAAAAATCCTGCGCTCACGTTAGTAGTACGAGTATTAATGCTGGCCTCCATACATAACGTTAACACTATGTAGATCATTAAGGGTGTTACTTGGTATCATGGGTGCTCATTTTGAAGAATAGATTTTTTTAATTAGAATCTCTTCATTGAAGCCAAGCATAAGAAGAGAATGTGGAGCACATTAGACAGTACTGTGTAAGAAGCCATAAAAAGTCAGTCGCTTATTGGAGTTTAGAATTAGGGATTCCAAAAACTATGATTCAAAATGTTGTTCACAAGCGTTTATGCCTTTATGCCTACAAGATTCAGCAGCAGCATGAAATCAAACCTGATGACCAGCTCAAATGTTATGAGTTTGCTAGTTTAATGCTGAACAAAATCTCGCATTTTGTTGTTAGAAACCAGGGTTAAAGTTAGAACATCAGTTGTGAGGTGTCTGGGATTTATGTGTGTTACACAGTGCCATTTGTAGAGGGCATAGCTGTAAAGAAAACTTATGCATTGTGGGTTTGCCATCACTGAAGAGGAAGGGCATCCTTCTCATTTGCCTCACTCCATATTTGCAGAAGTACTCATGTAGTTTTGCAGGACACAAAAATAAACCTGTGATGACCTGCCACTTACAAGCAGAGGCCCAAAAATATGAATGTGTAACCAGCCAGAATTGTTTCTCTGCTAGTCTGTGGCTGCACTCCAAGCCCATGATACCAGATAAGTGCCAGCATTCATTCAGTCATGTCATTATATGGAAATACTTTTTAACTGAAAACAAAGATGACACTGTATGGTCTGTAGTGACAGCATAATTAAATAATACCGATTTAATAAAATATGTAATGTTGTCACTGATAAGAACAGCCAGTGCTGGACCATATGCACTCAGCCTGAGTGCATGCATTTAGTTGTAACCTTTTGTTCCTGGACACCCAAAAGTGGTGACTGTATATGAGTACAGTGAGTCAGTAGAGGGCATTGAGTTGCTAGTGGTGCAGCAAGTTACTGATGGGTATAGCAAGTCATCAGTGAATGTAGTGAGTCACTAAGGATTTTTTGCAGGGTGAGACTGACAACTTTCTCTCGAATTTGACTGCCACTATTTTCAGGGTAGATATGAATGCTGTGCGGAAAATAAAGCCGTTATGACCAGTGGAATTACTGGTGAGATTAATATATCTCCTATATTTATGTAAACCAACATTTGTAACGGAAATGAAATATTTTTTTCTGTGGAGTAGGAAACTAATTTTTCAGTATTATTTAGCTCAGTTTCATGCTTCAAAGGGTGCATAACCTTTGAACCACTGAATTTAACTTCTACACTCAAACCTGATATACAGACTGGTTCATTCAGCAACTGTAGCTCTCCATTCAAGCAGTCACTTTGCTGGTCACATGCAATGGGCCACGCAATAATGTAACCAGATTGCTGCAGTGATAAAAGTGTACAGTTGATTCCATATGTTTTCCTATGACTAATCAGCTATAAGCATTCTTTGTTCTTGTGCCCAAGCATGATGAGACACCAATGAACAATATGTTTCTTGCTTAGAAGAAAGGTGTCTTATGATGCATATGTATGTAAATGACATCAGCAGTGTCACATTTACCAATGTTTCAAAGTCTTGCAGAAGCTGTCATGATGCCTGATTCTGAGAGACATCAACTGAAATCTCTGTACGCGCTCTGAACTCTCAAAGGCACTCAAACAGAACTTGGACATAACTCAAGAGCCACTTCATCAAATGTCTGAAGAAGCTGATGGTGATGCCGAAGTGTCCATGTTAGAGTTGTGAAAATTTTTAAATTTTGTCCATACAGAATATCATTATGCTGATCGATTACTCTCCGGCTAGAATGATAGATGAGAGAATTCTGAGAAATTTCTGCAGTAGATGACAAAAAGAATGTTAAGACTGAGAAACATGATGCAAAAATGGAATAATTGCATTATGTCAGAACAGGCTCAACTTCCTGTACCGTGAAGTTTAGTTGTGAAAGGAGACAGAATATGAGCAGTGCACAAACTTTTTGCTTTTCTAGTTTGAAGAATTGACTTCTGTAGCTAATCAGAACTATTAATGATGGAACTTATTTTTATGATCTATGAAATCTTGTTGCATAAATTTACAGAACGTGTTTTTATTATAAATCTTATTTTACAGTCTTATGTGCAACTATTTATCAACTTAGAAATTTAAAATTTTTAAATTTTGAATTTAAAACTTAAAAATTTTAAACTTTTAAGCTAATAAATAGATGCACATAGTACTGTAAAATAAGATTTATAATAAAAGGAAGAGTTAACTTGATGCTACAGTACAGTATTACAGGGCATGCGCTATTGGTACACTGAAAATCCAAACTCCGTTCACTGGATTTTACTACACAGCCAAAGAAGTTGTGTGTGGCATCTTGTAAATCTAGACTTCATATTCTTTTATGACATAGTAACATGTAAACAATATTTTGGACCCCTGTGAAGAATTGGCCAAAGAGGAAAGAGTTATTTGTATCTTCAACAGGACAGTCCACCAGCACATATAACAGAGTTCAGTTCAAGCAGTAAAGTGTTTTGAGTGGTCACTAGAGGACTATGGATGTCACAATCCCTGGATCCAAATGTCTCTGGGAAAATTTTGGACCACAACTGATGCACATACTTCGAAGGCTTCAGAGATGAAAGTCCAGGACATTATTCTATAAAACAAGAACATGAACTTCATTGTCTAAAAAGAATCTCTCACGTCTTTGTAAAATATGCTTCAGTGTTGGATGCCCATCACATCAGCCATTGTAAATAAAGTAGTCCTACTGAGTATTTTTTTAAGTGTGGATGAAACCTTGAATTCGATTCGGCAGTAGGATGTGATTTTCTTGTGACCCTGGACACCAGCCAGTCTCGTAGAAACTGGTGAATGAACCAGTGTGTACATTCACTGTTCTCGTGGTATATACAGCATGTTCACTGTTGTCATTTATTACACGGTGTGTCAGCATACCAGGTTCTAGCCTCTGTACATAATTTTGAAACACTGTGAGCCATAAGATCTAAAAGTTTGTGATGATGGTACATTAATACAAATATCATGTTTCTGGAAATTATCCATCATCCTGTTTTTATTTATTTGTGTTTTTTATGTTAGTACCATACAGAGAATTTATCTCTCTAGTGATAACTTCTGTTCTGATAGTTCTTTGGTGCTAGACCTCATACATGTTAGAGTTTTTAATGTTTTAATGTTTTGTCTTAACTCTCACAGATTTAGTTAGTACACACTGTCTTGTGTTGGTGTATGTGTCCAGAGATAGGGACTAGCTTTATTGATTGGGCCCAACTGAGTAGGTCTTACCTAATGACAGAAACTGAATCCAATCTCCAAATTGTTGTGTTTTAAATAAAAACACGATGATTGATGATGTCCAGAAATATAATATTTGTACTGTCACACATCTTATGTAGGTACCAACTTCAAATTACCTATTATGTAGGGTTTTGTGCGTTAAGGTTATGGTCTTTGTGGATGTGGCACTGTCTGGTGTGTTGGATACATACAATTGTTTCAGAAGAACCTGTTGCCTCCTACTTCTAGGCCGAACTGTGCAGCAGCAGATACCAGAAGACCATAATTTCAATATTCATCACTGAGAACTTCAGATTTCATACAAACGTTGTATATGTTTGCACTATTTGTGCTCACATGATTTGTATTGTCTACCCTGAATGTGAGGGCAGTTCATCCTATATGCCAGTTTTGTTATACAATAAGAGACCTATCTGTCATGATTACCACAATAACCTCAGAACTCATAGACATTAAGGTCATAAAAGGAATTACAGAATTTCTTTTGTTATTGATCTGTAAGAAAAAAGGTGATATTAGAGATCTGTGCTTCATGCTGTGGCCATACATTAGCAGTCCCAACATGGAGCTCTCATCAGTCTGATGTATATGTTTTCACACCAGTATTAATTGTTGTAAATTTCCTTTTAAAGAATGAAACACCATCATATAAAGAGTATTATTTTGTTTCAGATAATTATGTAAACATATCAGTAATAAAAATTTGCACCAAACGGCTGTGTCTCATGTTAATACTTGGTGTGGTTGCAGTTCCCCCACTTCTACAGTAACATACTCAGCAAACATTAAAATGTTAAGTTTCTGAAGAGTGTGTTTTACAGTAAATGTGATTGTTGTTTTGGACATTGTCCTCCATCTCATTATTTTTGAATCAGATCTATTTTGTTAGCCATGTTTGTTGATGCAAAAAATGTATTAATTTCCAGCTGTACACTCATACCGATATTCAACAATTTGTTTATTCAAAGTTCTTGTGACGTGTGATCCCAGTAACAGCTAGTGTCACAGGTTTAATTCATAATTTATTTACATCCATAAACTGTTACACAAGTACAATTGGATAAGTCAGTTTAAGCCATCTAAAACACAAGTCAGCAACTCTTAAAAATGTACAGAATGATACACAAGACTACAAACAATACAATCATCTTAGGATCATTGTCCCCCTGCTGAAGCTAGCAACCGAGGATGACATCCCCCAACAATCCAATATAAAGCAATGCATACACTTATACAATCTATATACAACCACTCCACATCAGAAGCAACCTGAGCCACCAAACTACTGTCCAGCATTGTTATTAAAATGCTCCTGCAACATTTTAATTTATTTTTAAAAACTTTAAAATGTTCTGTTCTTTTTAATTAAGGGGCAAGCTGTTATGTATTTTAATTCCCATGTTAATTACACTTATTTTGCATGTTTGTGTACATACAAATCCTGTTTTCCTTTAGTGTTATACATGTGAATGTTAGAATAATGAGTTGTGTAGATCTTGTTCTTTTTAAAAAGCATAAGATTTCATATATATACAGAAGTTACTGTTAAAATCTTAAATTTACCAAACAGACTTCTACAGGAAACCCAAAAGAATACCAGATTTCAATATAGATTCAAATTTAGTAAAATAAATTTCTTAGTACTGGTAAACTTAAGTGAGTCTCATATGGGTTTAATCAACTAAAGAGCTTTGTTTAATTTATGGCAGAGATATTGTATATGAGTGGCCCAGCTTAAGTTATCTGTGATATAAATACCTAAAACTTTTGATGAGTAAGTTACTTCTTTATTTTTTAGATACAGAGTGGGTCCATGAGTTAATCCAGATCCTCTTCCCTGAAATAGTATTGCTTTAGTCTTTTCAATATTTATTATAAGATTATCTGTTTGGAACCAGCTTTCTAATTGTTTCATGACTTTTACTGATTTTTCTTTTAACAATGGGAGGATTTTTTCTATGAGTAATGTATTTGTGTCATCTGTGAATAACACCACCTTATCTTCTTGAACTGCTTGGGGCAAATTGTTTATAAACAACACGAGCAGAAGGGGTCCCAAAACAGAACCCTGAGGTAAACCATATTTTATTTCTTTACAGGATGAAGCAAATTGCTTTATATTTGCAGTCTCTTCATCTAAATGCTGTACTTCTACAAGTCCATAGAGCTCCAATTTGACAAGCAGAAATTTATAATTTATTACATCAAAGGCCTTAGTTAAATCTAAAAATATGCCCATAACTAACAGCTTATTATTTAATGCTTTCTGATTATCCTCTATAAACGTTTGACCATCTCCCTAAATACTTGTAATATTGCACAGGTGATACTTTGTGAGAATAATGGTACTCACACAAGGGACTCAAGTGAAAGCTTCCATTGCAGGATTCTCTCTAAGTTACAACTTGTTTAAAAAGTTGAAATGAGTTAATGCGCAATATTGTAAAATTCAGGTAAGTTATCATTTGGCTGTTATTTAAAAGAAATTTCATTGGCAGACATACAGGCCTGTGTAATATCACAAGCACTTTTGCAGAATAGTGAGGTTGTGATTTGGCCAATGGTGATGTAAAGAAGGGAGATGAACCTAAATATTAATGCTAATAATTAGAATAATTGATGGTGTAAGTGCTTGAATGTCTGGACCAGTCAAGAATTCCTCCATACTCAAGGATGGCACTCTTTTAGTTGAAACCCATTCTGATGAACAGTATGCAAACTCTTGAAAAATAATGTTAGGGTCTTGCTCATTCACCATGATTAGGGGGCCCCTGCTGAAGAGATATAATATACTGAAGTGACATTTATGATTACTGCAAAAGTGAAATCCAACATGACTCAGGGATCAGTATGTCTGAAGTCCTCAGGGTCCATAAGAGCAAATGACGTCTCATCCCAACAAAGGTAGAATTTCTTATGTTTGAAACATTTACACTGCCTGACTGTCATCTTTTTTTGCATGTGTTATTACCTCCACTGCCATCAGCAAGCCCAGAGGCCAACAAAACACAAACTAAACATATCAAATAAGATGACAAAAATATTCCTTGCTGTTAGGCACGCATTTTTTACATGCCCAAAAAATGTTCACATTCACATGTTCAAGTTTCTTTTTTTAAATAGAGCAGACTTTAAACTTTGTACTGGGCATCTGTGGGATTTTCAAGTAGGATGTTCAAAGTTAGCAGCATTATTCAATTTCTCCTCACTAGGTACTACGTTCTGATTCCATTTGTTTTTATCAATTAAGGGCTCCATCTACATAAATTTATTTGCCACTGTATGAATGACTTTCCATATCTGGAGCTGCAAAACACTAAAATTTATGCTGCAATTTTCTCCTCATCACGTGGATATCACATATGAGCACTTATTTCAATGTGTATTGCACACATGGTATTTGGACACAGGTAACGAAACAAGCTGAATGTTTAATACAATATCAGGGGCTTGGGATCACTGTCAGCAGGTACATATTGCTTAAGTTCACTTTGCATTCGTCCAAATATTTATTAGGATGACACTGAAGAGAAATTGTATTATGTCCTGGCTAATGATCTGTCGGCCAGGACATAGTTACATAGTAAAATAGATGGGAAAAGTATTTGCCCCACCATCACCCCATATGAAATTACATTGCTGACTCACAAATCTTCCACAGCGATTTATTTTAAAGCCTAATGTATACCAATATCCTAGGGCTGCATAGGAAATGAGCCATGTCATGTTGCCATTGACATGGGCAACTTGGACCATCAAAATACCTTACATCATCACAGTACTGCGCAAGAAGAAAACGAATCTGCCATTCATTATTCATAAAGCGTCTTGGGAGATCATTCCTAGTCGAATGAACCGATGGCAAGGTCCACTGTTGGGCTGAGATCGCCACTCGCACCATGCATGCGGAGATCACAATGGTATTCGTCCTAGGGCCAGACGCCCTGCGAGCCTACGACATGACGATGAATTTAACGCGCCACGTGCTACGACCGGCTGAAAAAGAAATTTCGTTACGGCATTCAAAAGGCCGTTGAAGACCCTCTCTTCTGACTATTGACAACGATGAAACGACACTAACTCGTATGTGAAGGCCGCGCCATAGCTCAAGCGGTTAGTCGCTGGCTTCCCACCGCGGCGGCCCGGGTTCGATTCCGGGTCTGGTCAAGTTGGATTTGTGGTGGACAAAGTGGCGCTGGGGCCGATTTTTAAGAGTACTTCGGTTTCCCCTGCCAATCTTCATTCCACCAATTGCTTCACAATATCACTCACCTATCATCTGTGGCTGGTACAATAGGCCAGAAGTGGCGGCAGTACAAGGGACTTAGTCCCACCCGGTCCCACCCCACTAGCAATGAAAAAAAAAAAAAAACTCAATGTGAAAGGGTTGTGAATGCAAATCTACAATATCCCCTCAACGCACCTGAAGCTCATGAGGACGAAGTGGCTAGTGGAACTCGCTTCAAGTAATTATATAATCCAGCGTTTAGATGTCGCCAGGTTTAATTTTTAAATTATCCGTGTCAAACATCTGTCAAACATATCCCACAGTTAATATCGGGCTGCACGGCCATGTAGAGGATGTAGCGTTATTCGTGGTGTTGTGTTAATGGTTTTCAAGTCAGGTTTATGACATATTATTATGATCATTATGACATAATATGTATGATCTATATAAAAGTTCGATTTTAGTTATATGACTGGAAAGCAAAATGCGTATAAATTCTCATTATCAAACTCGGGCCATGAGTAATGGATATATGCATTTCTGGCAGGGTAAGTTGGAATTTACTGAAACTATTCATGGTAGTCTGTAGGAGAATGTTTTACAAAAAAAGAAAGGTTTCTATGCAGGTAGGGAACAATGCGGTGCCCTAACCGAGAAGATCAGAGTATTATATTTAATCGCTGTAGGAAGTTATAGTGTCACAAGAAGATATTCAGTTATAAATATGAATTAGAATAATTTGCTGTGCTTTAGCCTGGTGTCATATAATTGAACTTAAACATTATACCATGTTTCGGCCGGCCTAGTAAGCGTAAATATAAAATTAAATGCCTGGTGGTATGTGGATGAGTACTATATAATGTGATAAGATACACTGAAGATTAGTGTGGATGGATACCAAATTACACGGCCTCACATTCCAGAAGACAGAGATCTTAATTGCCTGAAGGTTGGCCTGCAAATGAAGAAGATATCGTAAGAGGCCACAGGCCCGAATGTAGGATGATGATGTGATGAGATGTCACAGCAAATATGGATACACGTAGTCTTCTGCCTAAGCAGTTATTTTGAAGTTTTGAAGTCACAGACTTAGGGGTTTTTCTTGATTGAGGTGAAGGGTCAGCTTCACGTCTCGGCTACTTTACCCACAGGGTAAGAGCCTCTGGTACCCATTGGATAGGAAGCTGGGTGGGCCCCAGATCCAGTCTGAATACTGTGGAGAAAAGAAAAATTTCTTGCTCATACCAGGAATCAAATCCCAGTCCTCCAGTCTGTAGCCTGTCATTATACCAGCTGAGCTGTTCTGTGAAGTAAAGTGGTTTTAAAGCAAAAAGAATACTATCGTGTGTGTTCCTTGCTTTGAACCTGAAGAAAGGGGGCAGTATGTTCATTTGAAACTGTAGTAAACTTCCACCAGACTGCACAGTGCTGCACTGCACGATGCTTCATTGTAGGAGACAGTGCCATAATTACTACCATAAGAACTTCATATCTCACATAAGCGTTGCATTTCATTTTTGTTCTTGTAATTATGTTAATTTTTTAGGAGGTACTGTTGTTCATTGTACTGGAACAAGTAACTGCAATTTTAGTACAATTTGAAGCTATGAAAATGAGTGTTCAGTCTTGTGTTTTTTTATTCATGTGTTATTCTGAGTGAAAATTCAGTCACTTTCCACTTGAGTGCCCTCCACTGGGCCACTGAATGGCATGGTACAGTAAACTCTCGTTAATCCAGTTACAGTTCATCCAGATGTCAGATAATCTGGAGTGAAATATGAAAAATGAAAAATGCTGTTCACAGTTGAGAACATATTGTGACGTGGGTGGTGCAACAGGAAATAGGGGTCACGTGAACTCTGTGGTCTTGCAATTGACGTCACATACCTCCACTCCTTCCATCATCACACAACGCTCAGTAAACACCCCCTCCCTGCGGTGACGTAACAGCACTTTCCACAGTGACGTAACAGGGGACACTGCTGTTACTACACAGCAATAAACAACTCTTGGCAGCGCTCCCCAGCAATGCCTGTAAACACGGCATTTATGCAACAGTGAAGCGATGTGGGTTTTCCGCTGTCCATCTGAGGGTTTATAAGGGAGACTGGAATGCGTAACAAGAAAGTTAAAATGTAGCAGCCGCCGAAGACAGATGAAGTCTAGCAGTCACAGAGTCGGGTTGTATCGAGTGCATGGCAGGGACTCCAGCAGGAAGGTGGATGAGTCACTTGTCTGTTCAGACAAAACTTAGCAGTTTCTTCAGACATGCATTATTTTGTTCAAAAACAAGTTACAACTTCTGAGCCTTATGTTTGTGAATAAATATATTGTCTTGTTATAGTTTTTAAATAAAGCCTCTACAGTGAGATTTATTTTCATCAGCAGTACTTATATCATTAAATTTCCACTTATTTGTGTTGAAAGTTTTTTTGCCTTTTAGGGCTACCTTCAGCATCACTGATCCAGGCTATCACTTAATCTGGATAACCTCCCCCACCCCCAGTTACCCTGCATTAGTGAGGGGTTACTGTGTTGTCCATTGCAATGGAGTGCTCCGACTAGGTGGGTGGAAAATGGAAACATGGCTCAATCTGTCAATGGCATGACGAAACCTACTTAAACCCACATAATATACTGTGAGGGTTGTCCAGAAAGTAAAGGTTGCTAGCATACATGTGCTGCTTGCTGACTTTGTCTGGGAAGTTTTTTTTTTTTCCATCCTTCCTACAGTCTCGACCTGGCTTCAAGTGATTTTCAATTGTTTGCAGTCTTGAAGCCGTTTTTGGGCAGCACTCACGTGGATAATGATGAAGAGGCAGAAAAGACTGTGAAAGACTGGTTCAGTGGACTAGCAGCAGATTTGTACAATGCAGGCATATAGAAACTTATCACATATGACAAGTGCCTGAATCTTTGTGGGGATTATGTAGAAAAATTATTTTAATTTCTGTAGTACGAGTAATCATGTAACATAAAAAGTTTTTAAGTTAATTCATTTCTTTAATCACCAAATGGTCTTTACTTTCTGGGCAACCTGCATATAATGAAGAGTTTTCTAATATGTTCTGTACCTTTTTCACCTTGTAGGAGCAACTCTTATATTTCAAGAGCATGGCATTGAGCTCTGAACCAGAAGAAATGTACACCAAAGTCTGGCGCCCATAGAGTCAGAGATGGCTGCAAGTGAAGAACCCAAGGAAGATAATATGATGCTTTTAATAAGCGATAATGTTGTTAGAAAGGAAGACAGCCAGATAAGAAAGATTCACAGCTGTCCATATAAATATTGTGAGCGCTCATTCAATAGGCCGTGGCGTCTGGCCAGTCATGTTCGTTCACATACAGGCCAGGTAAGCATCTTTTGCTGTTCATGTTGTCTCCACACAGGGTTGGATTAGAAGGTATTCTCTTCCCTTGAATGATGTGAGTACAGTTTGTAGTCACAGCCACATTTCTGTCCTGTAACACATGCACAGAGCCTTTGGACAGCTTCCAAGTCTAGTGAAACTGCTGCTAAAATCGTGTATAATCACTTGCAGTTATCACAGCCATCTTATGGTAAGAATGGCTCTCAGAACTAACTGCAGCAGCTCCATGACTGGTGACCTTCAGCGTTGTATTAGTATATGAAAATTGTTTAGTTGTTTAGTGGTATACTAAGATCACTATAGGCCACGTCATAGCTCAAGCGGTTAGTCGCTGGCTTCTCACTACAGTGGCCCAGGTTTGATCCCGGGTCTGGTCAAGTGGGATTTGTGGTGGAAAAGTGCCGCTGGGGCAGATTTTCTCCAAGTACTTCGGTTTCCCCTGCCAATCTTCATTCCACAAATTGCTCCACAATCACCCTCACCTATCATCGGACTGGTAGTGTAGGCCAGAAGTGGTCGCAGTACAAGGGACTTAGTCCCACCCCACTAGCATTAAAAAAAAAGGATCACTATAGACAGTTCCCAGGATCTGACATTTGTCACCACACTCAAAGCATTCATATTGTAACGCAGTAAACCCTCACCAATCCAGATTAATTGGGGGGAGGGGCCGTCTATGTTAAGCAATAACCTGGAATAATGAAGCAAAAGATGGTCCTGACAGACAAAAGAGAACTTAGAAAACAAATGCATGGAAAATTTAATGATATAGGTAGTGCTGATGAAAATAAATAGAAAAAATATCACTGTAAAGCCTTTATTTAGAAACTATAAAAAGACAAGAAGCTGAAATTCAGAATCTCCATTCGGCTCAAGCCAATCTTGAACATTTTTTGCATCGTTTCAGTCTCTCCGGCTGCCCTCAAAACTGACTGAAAGTCCTCATCCTCCTAAATTCCATGTGTCTTTTAAAGTATGCACTCAACTGTGAACACAATTTCTCATTTTTCTTATTTCAGTCTGGATTAACTGTAACAAGAATAGTGAAGTTTTACATAAAGAATAGTAAAAAATAAAGTTGCCCCTGTTCTTAACTAATTAAACACTATGCCGTGAAGGCATATGGGGAGTGTATATATTGATCCACATTTTCTTGACCTCTGCTCCAGATGGAGGTGAATGGTCAGCTTCATACCCCTGCACTTTACCTCTGGGGAAAGAGTCCCCAGTACCCATTGGATAGGACGCTGGGTGGGCCCCAGAGCCGGTCTGGAAGACGTGGAGAAGGGAAAATTCTTGACCCTACCAGAACTCAAACTCCAGCCCCTCGGTCATCCAGCCCGTAGCCAGTCGCTATACCAACTACATTATCCTGGCTCTTAGCAAGAGTTTACTGCTTTTGAAATAGCCAAAAGTTTGTAATGGCTTCCACATGTATACGTGGTTACTGAATGTTATATTTTAGCGTCCTGTTGCACTGATTTAAGTTCATGATTTGTTTAATCCGTCTTGCAGTGCGTACACTTATCTATCTTCTTCTCTCACTCTCACTACATGTTTCGGCATAAAAATGCCATCTTCAGGTGCTACTCAATTCACGTCAAACTAGTACATTGTATGCCTTGTCTTCACTTTAAAATAACTAAAATATATGTCCATCATATATATTGACAAATGTCAATCGTAAAAATATTAAAACTGTTCAGGATTCCCGATCGCTACGTCGTATCTTATTACGCCAGTCATGCTCATCCTACTCTGTTGGAGCTCTTCTTCCCTATCGTGTGTATTGTGTTTCTGTTGCGTCTTGTTCTCGCGACTGCGTGCGTTATAGTGAGAGTGAGAGAAGAAGATAGATAAGTGTACGCACTGCAAGACGGATTAAACAAATCGTGGTTACTGAATGTTAAGCTTGATGTTGCAACTGCCAACAGCCCAGCAGTTTTTCTTTGGAATGTTGCTGATTTATAATGGTGGTTTGTGTATGCTGTATTAACTGCATGCTTTCATATTAAATGAGGCACAAGGATGATTATGTGGATTGGAAAGTATGGAGTAAGAAGTGGCACAACCATACTTTAAGGTATAGTAAACTCTCACTAATCCAGAGTAACTGGGGGGAGAGGTCTTTTGGGTTAAGCAATATTCAGGTTAGTGAAGCAAAATGTAGCCCTAAAAGATAGAAGTCTTTAAGACACAAATAAATGGAAAATTTAATTATATAAGTAGTGCTGATGAAAATAAATAACAAAATATCACTGTAGAGCCTTTATTTAAAAACTATAAAAGGACAATACATGTAATCATCAATAGAAGACTCAGAAGTTGTAGTTGTTTTTGAAGATAATAATGCATGTTTGAAGAAACTGTCAAGTTTTGTTTGAACAGACAAGTGACCCATCTACCTTCATAAATGCTATGTGTCTTTTAAAGTATTTACTCAACTGTGAACAACATTTTTGATTTTTCATATTTTGATCCAGATTATCTGACATCCAGATTAACTGTAACTGAATTATTGAGGGTTTGCTATACTGTAATAATATTTTTGTGGAAGAATTGATGACAACCACAAAACACCCTCAAGCCTCTGCTCAGTTAAGATTTGAACTCAGTACGTACTAGATGCAAGTGTGACACAGTGGCATCGTACTGTGAATCTCATGGATCTCGTCTTCTCACTGTGGGATCGTCAGAGAGTTTAATACAGTGTTTTTCTGTTCCCCTGCAGCGTTCTCACCCATGTGAAGTCCCAGGATGCAAGAAGGCATACTTCAATTCGAGCCATCTGCGTCGCCACATGACCACCAGCCACAGGGCAGAGTCACTTCTTAAAACTCTTCTGAAGTAAGTATCACAGGTTTGGAATCTGGTAATTGTATTTGTGTTATTGTGTGAATAAAAGATAACATGAAATCTAAGTTGTCTGCCTCCACAGTAAATGTTTGTGACAGCAACTTTAGTGTGCAGGAAGGTGTTGACCCTTAATATTGATGTGATTAAGGTGAAAGGTAAAGTTATCCCTGTACTTAATTACTTAAGCACTACCCCCAACAAGATGTATGGGGAAGTGAATGTATAGATCCACAATTTCTTGACCTTGGAACTATTTGGAGGTGAGTGGTCAGCTTCATGCCCCGTGCAATTTACTCCTGCTGAAAGAGCCCCTGGTAACCATTGGCTGGGAGGTTGGGTGGGGCCCATAGCCAGTCTGGACAATGTGGAGAAGAGAAAAAACTTGCCTCTACCAGGAATCAAACATCGACCCCTCAATCATCCAGCCCATATCCAGTTGCTCTCCAGGCTCCTGTACTGAATTGATTGTTCTTTAAATTTAATAAGTACAATGGCCCATGAAATTTCTTCATTCCTATACTTTCTGTTTAAAATTTGAATTCTTGAAGCAATATGTTATGTGCTTTCATGAGAGGTGGTTGCAGCTATTCAATATGACCTAATCTGTCGTGGATTAATAGCCTCTGCTATTCAATGATTTATATGACATTCTGTGTTCAGAAAGTGTATTGCTTATTCTCAAGTTATTATCTGCACAAAATTAAACTGTCTGTTTACCATTATAATTATAGACTCCCTATTAAGATAGATAATTCAATTAAACATGGTCTTGGCAAAAAGAAAAGGTCTTATAACTCAGTTTTGTAGTATGCTGTGCCACACACAAATTTTAATACAGAAATACATTACTTTGCAACTGAAACAAACTTTTTTAATAAACTTTCATCTCATTGTGTCATGTTTTCTTTTTCAGTGCATGTAATGGTTAAAATTATATATACCCCTAAAACCTGAAGAGTGACTTTCTGGATACTCTGTACTCACTGCTTACTGCTGTTAATCTGAGGATGTTTACCCTAGAAGGGTCAGCATTCAAATGGTGAAGCTTGTGTTATACCAAACATGATTATAACTTTACAGGTGTCCTCACCCAAGCTGCATCGTGGAGTTAAGTAGTTCATGCAGCCTGAAGCGACACTGCTGGCGTATACATGAACGTCAGCACCTGTTCACCTGCACGAACTGTGATAGGGGCTTCTCCAGGCAGAGTCAGTGGCAGGCACATCTGTATGAACACACTGGTGTTCCGCCCTTCATGTATGTATCTGTATTACCTGAATTAGCCATTGGCCTACATTCCTTATTTTAAATATGAGCAGAGCTATGATTGTCGGAGGCTGTGCCATAGGTTTGATCCCAGAGCAGCCCACATTGGATTTGTGGTGTGCAAAGCGGCAGTCTGAGCATTTAAGTTGTCCCCTGTCAATCATCATTTTGCCAATTCTTCATGCCTCATCTGTCATCAGGGGCTGGTACAGAAGGCCACAGTACCTAGAAACAGTCTCACCACACTTTGTAACTTGTCAAAGTGAGTGAAAGAAAGAATTTGTTCAGTAGTGCTCTGCGTACCACAGAGATTGCCATGGGATTGAACTCAGGCATGGATCATATGCCTGAATGAATGAGCTATGGTATGACCCTACTGATAGAAGGAAGTAATGCATATTTATATGTCTCAGATGGGGTGTCATCTGTTTGATATCACCAGTAAGGTACAGTGACATGCAGAATGTTCTGTTTCGTCACCTGAGCCTCGTGGCTGGCAATCCTCAAGACAGTTGTTTCTGTCTTTAAGAACACCATGTGTTAGACTGTCATTGTAACCCCCAAGAATCTAGGCCATTATTTGGAGGTCTTTCATGGGTTTCATCAGTAAGCATGTCATGACCCTTCAGTCACAATCCTTGTGTCATATCTCATTTGACAGAGGACTGTGTAACAGAATTGTAAAGCTCTTATCTGTACTGCAGTGCACACAGCTTCCATATACTTTTTTTTGCAGTTTATCATTCTGCATTTGCATTTGAGTGTATGCACACTTTGTAAAGCTCTAAAATTTTGTTGATGTGGTTGGTGCCTTTGGCTCCTACTATTATTATGGTCACCATCATTACAATTAGTATCATTGTTTATTTTTGTAAAGGACTAAATCAACTGCTCCTCATTTATAGGTCCTGCTGGTTGCTGTTTACCCAGTGAGCAAATTAGGGTCTTTTCCACTTTTATTGTGCATAATGTTTCAAGCCTTGGTCCCTCTTCAAGATGCATCACAGCTGCAAACAGCATCTGCCAACTTCTAGATGTTATAGATACATTACTTCACTTGATACTTTTTGGTTTTTAGTTTCTTATGTATTTATAGTGCCCTCCTGTTGCAGACAGCAAGCTCTCAAGTAAAGGAATTGAATTATTATTATTATTATTATTATCATTACATCAATATGCTCGATATGTTAAATCTGCGATCACTCCACACTAGGCGTCGCCACATAGACGCCTTGTTCCTAATATGTGTTTTTAAAGGTGACAAAAACTGTCCTTCGGTCCTAGAAACAGTTGGTATTCGAGCTCCCTCTCGGAACATCCGTAATTTTTCCCTGTTCTGCTGCTCCTCTAGTCACTGCCCTTCAGCCAGATGTGTCTCTGCTGCTAATTTAGTGTGTAATTCTAGACATTTTTAGTACTTCTAAAATAAGTTCAAAAAGTCTGACTATTTAATTGTTCTTATAGTTGCATCAGGTTTATTTCTCAATTAATTATTTAAACATTTTATTTCTCAGTCCTCAAATACAATGAATTTCTGTTGTTATTATTATTATTCTTATATTTATTATTATTGTAATTATTATTAAAAAATCTATTTCATTTTTTCATGTAACATTTTGCAGGACACTTGTTATCACTTTATCATTAATATATTTACTTTTGTAGAA